AGAAAAAGGGGACCAAGGAACTGCAAGTAAGTTACGCTCCAATGTCTACTAACACCACCAGTTACTCAACAATCAGCTCATGCTCATGCTTTTTCTATTCTATAAATTTATCCTTGGCTCTTCATCCGAGTCCAAACCTGCACTTTAGGGCAGTTTAGGCCTGCGCATTATGCTTCCCCTTTCGGTACGAAAGGGTCATTTGTCAGTCTGCCTACTATTACTAGGCGCTTGCGGATTATGCCTCGTATTTACTGGCATTTCTTGGTTGAAAATTGGGAGCATAATTTGGCAACCTTTCGGTGGTACATGTTCATGTACATGTAGAGGCATAACTACATGATTGTACCACAGTTCTAGTACATGTACATACTGTACATGTACATGTAGGCTACACAATTGTGTACAATGCACCTGATTAGTGCGGGTGGTCTGCATGGTAAAGGATTCGGAGGTCATGCAGATCGTACACAATGTAGTGTTTTCAATGGAAAGCAGGGTAGAAATTATGGCAACACATTATTCCGGAACTCGTCTTCTTCAAAGTTTACGAAGACTCATAACCTCTGGATTTTGGCAGCCATGACTGTGCAGGCTATGGATACCCTCTTTTTCTCAATCATGATCTTAGACCATCCCACTATGCCTGCCTGTACTACAAGTAACGAATTTGAATTTGATGAATTTTGCATGAAAAATAATGCAACGGATGCGAAGGTTCCAGGGTTGAGGGAATGTTGACAGTCATGGCTTATGCGTCTTTGAGATCTTAGGAGAGCATTAATTAATGATGCCTTCAATAGCAGGTGTGTACAGTGTATCACAGCATAATTGGGCATTATTGTTATTATTACTGAAGTACACCTTCCAGTGGCTAAAGATGAATCAGTACCTATATACATCTACATGTACATGTACATGTACATGAGGAGGGGGCGTTTGCCAGCTCTGCCCTTGTTTTTTGGATGCCATTTAGGCTCCTTCTAAAAATGGAACTGATTATGCCAAAACTTGTTCCGGCATTACTCCTATTCGGAGCCTAAGTAGTACTCTACTACTGTAGTCTGTAGGCACTGCACTACTAGCCATTGGCGGACTATGCTCGGCCAATCGTCAAATTATGCTTTTGATTATGCCACAATTATGCCAACAAACACGCTGAATTATGCTGAATTATGCTCGGTTCCACGATGTATTCACGTGGAACATAGAGGATTGAGAAACCACGCATACACACACGGCCATGCCCTAAGCATAATTTGTGTCTAAACCGAAAGATTATGCCGACTTTACACGTTGGAAACCGTATATTATGCCGAGCATAATTTTGTGACGAAATCCCAAGATTATGCCAAATATTATGCCGGCATAATCCGCCAAGGGCTATGGCAAGGAGTCTGACTGGGGTATTTAAAAAACAAACATCTGCAGGCTTTCTGACAAAGCTGAATAATGCCCCTAAGCATAATTTGTGTCTAAACCGAAAGATTATGGCGACCTTACACGTTGGAATCCGTATAATATATATGCCGGAGCATAATTTTTTGACGAAATCCCAAGATTATGCCAAATATTATGCCGGCATAATCCGCCAAGGGCTACACTCCACTGACGAGGCCGCATGATTGTACTGACTACAGTCTACACTAAAGCACTATAATCATGATGCATCATCCACTGGCAACGACATTACGTATCGAGGTCGGCTGCAGATCGAGAGGCAGTTGCGGTGGGGGTCACTGGGGTGGTCACCAGGTCACTGGTGGTCTGGTGCCAGTGCAGTGGTGGACTGGTGATCTGGTGCGTGTGGTGGACTGGTGGTCTGGTGCGTGTGGTGGACTGGTGGTCTGGTGCGTGTGGTGGACTAGTGCAGCAGTGGTGCGTGTGGTGGACTGGTGGCCTGGTGCGTGTGATGGTTGATTAAAAGGAACAGCTACGTCATTGCAGCTGTCCGAAGCTCAAAGCTCCAGGAGTCGAAGCCGGAGTCCGGAGATATTATTAAGGACTTAGGAAGCGTTAGGTACCTGCAACATCCATATGCGTATTGCGGACTATGCATGACGAAGCTAATCTGAGTAATCATGCTCCACTCCGATATACAGCCTCTTTTAGTAGTACCCTGGTACACTCGACATGGTGCCACTTGCATTGCAATAATTATTGGCCCGTGAAAGCCCGGTCACGACCCACTGGCCACTGCATGCACTGCACGTGCACTGGTGTCACTGTCTGGAGTCTCTGGACTGGCCTCATCCCATGCTCAGCGCGCGCAAGCGTTTTGTGCGGCGTTAGTTCCAAATCCCGGCTACAACTACTGAACACTGTGCTGATACTCAGTAGACGGGATTTTGAACATGCCCATTGCACATACCGGCAGAACCTTTTATTTTTAATTTTTTCTTTAATTATTTACTTTTTTTACCAGGCGTGGGCCATCCCCTGATCATAGGTGCCAAACAATGTCAAAAAAGTGCACATACCGGTATACATTGTACATTAGACCTTGACAGATTACATGTATGCTAGCGTAATTTTTCGCATAATTCCTACCAAAATCGAATAATCGCATTATTCGAGGCAAATTGCAGACGAATCGCATAAAATTGGACTAATCCGCCTGTTCGCATCAAATTCCATACAGTTGTACATGTTCTACAAGTACAAGTACAAGTAGACACACCAGGAAGGCGTAGGTTTACGACTCCCTTGATAACATGTCCAGTCCACTACAATCAGTGACCAGGGTGACGGTCATAGCTAGGTCGGACGGTGCGTTGACCCCGTTGAACTTTTGCTACTACAGTACAAAGCCCTCTACAAAAAAATTCACCTGTTATTTTGCATATGTGAGCATAATCCCGCATAATATGATAACTTTTCGCATAATAATAGCATAATTCTGCAATTTTTTCAGCAATGCGAAAAGCATAATTTCACGAAAATACATGTATTAGTATAATCTGTCAAGGCCTATTGTACATGATTGTATACAATGTACAATGTCTACATGTAGATGTACCAGTACAGGGTAGTGGTACACTGATCTGCTCCATGGAATCCGATCAAGCCAGTGAATACAGAAGGCGGGCGCTGTACAGCCCTAGACCTGCGAACATTGGGATGTACAACTCAGCCTACGGACGCTACGGAACAAGTACATGTACATGATTACACATGTACATGTACTTGACTGTATTATTATCACGACATACATGTACATGTACATGTACATGTACATGTATGTGGCTTAGGGTAAAAACTTCACTCATGCGATCGGATTTCATTGAATATCACTGTCATACTACTTTGTACTACAACAGAGTCAGTGTAGGCTAGGCATAGGCGGGTAGTGCTAGCATTATGGCTGGCATTGTACTTATAGTCCCTTCGTTTCCAGGGGGCATAATGCTGGGGGCATTATACAATGTAACACCATTTCGCATGCAAAATTGGCATTACAAGCATAATTGTCGGTTGACAACGGTGTCATGCATGAAGCTGGCTAGGTCCAGTTCCGAAAATCGTGCATCTGAACCCGTCCGGCTTCGTCCAGAGACTTGACGTTGCAAATCAACCTTCTCAGTTGATTGTTTCAGACAACATGCTCACTGCTGTTTAAGTTGTTCTTCTTCTACGCTTTGGCCTTGATCCAAGACGGCCTTTTCCAACTTTCAAACTGGCATTATGGAGTAGTGTGAGCATTATAAGTGGCATTATATCCTCATAATTATCTAGTGCTGCTGCATCGCGCAATGCCCGCTACATTTTGTAGTTTGAGCACTCTGGCGCTAGAGCGACGAGCTACCTTAATGTCTTTGGTGCCTCCTTTGCACCATGGCTGGTGGCTCGGCCTCCTTAGCTCGTAGCTGTACTGATGAGGCCTTTATGGCCGAAACAGCTTGCTGTCTACAGCATTGGGTATCACGCTCCTCGGCTTTCGCCTTGTTGAGCACTCTCAGTAGGCTGCTCTAGTGCTGCTGCATCGCGCAATGCCCGCTACATTTTGTAGTTTGAGCACTCTGGCGCTAGAGCGACGAGCTACCTTAATGTCTTTGGTGCCTCCTTTGCACCATGGCTGGTGGCTCGGCCTCCTTAGCTCGTAGCTGTACTGATGAGGCCTTTATGGCCGAAACAGCTTGCTGTCTACAGCATTGGGTATCACGCTCCTCGGCTTTCGCCTTGTTGAGCACTCTCAGTAGGCTGCTCTAGTGCTGCTGCATCGCGCAATGCCCGCTACATTTTGTAGTTTGAGCACTCTGGCGCTAGAGCGACGAGCTACCTTAATGTCTTTGGTGCCTCCTTTGCACCATGGCTGGTGGCTCGGCCTCCTTAGCTCGTAGCTGTACTGATGAGGCCTTTATGGCCGAAACAGCTTGCTGTCTACAGCATTGGGTATCCTCATAATTATTATGAGCATTGCCTTTAGCATTATCGCAGCAAATAACTAGCATTAACCGCCCATGACGCTATAATGTTTCTTCTGCTTTTCTCTTCTTTTTTGTTCCTCCCTCTCTCACCAATTGTCCCATCCCACGTACATGTATTTCATCACTCAAGCGAAAACAGGAAACCCCCTCGACAGGCGAACAGCCTTTGGAGAAATAAATACAATACAATACCATGTCTGCAGTACATGATTATTGCACGTCCGCGTTACCACCGACTATACAATTGCGTTGAAAAACACAACCACACACCGCGAAAGGTGCAACGCAGCGCAGCACATGTGCATGTCACTCATTCCTATCCACTCGCGTGACTCGGCTTCAGGATTCACTCATCATGACATCAAGGCTAGCCTAGCGCCTGCTTCAATTCAGGTCACTGGTTAGGTGGCGTAGGCGCTTCATACCCTTCAACGACGTGACTAATGATGACTATGTGCGATGACGTGAATGCGAAACGAAACTAGCTCGAAAGGTGCGACTTGGCCTGTCCTACAAATAGCGCCTGGGCTGGATGGCGTTGTTCCAACTAGTCCCTTATATTTGGAGGTAGCTGCCATTTCTCCCGGCATTCGAAAACAGGTTCTCGTGCTGAGCAGCTGCTGAAATTTTCGTTCTTGTTTTATTCAAGTCCTTTGTCCCTTCAACTCGTTTTCCCCTCTTCCTGAAGTACCAGTTCTCAGACATGATTTGGTCTTCGGTCATAGTTCTAGCGTTGGCTTTGCTGCCAGCTACGCTTGCGTTTCCTCGCTTCCTTCCTGACATACCTAATGTGGGAGCCGTCCAAGGCTTGTCGAATTCACTGGTACCTTCCCCGTCCGGCGTGGCTGGCGTGTAAGTCGTAACGCTTCACTGACCATTCTGGATTATCAATTATTTATTATGTGCGACTCGTACATGTAGGGTGCTTCTTCTGGAGAGTTTGTTTAAGCTACTAGTACATACACAAATAGGAGATCCCCCAGATAGGCGTTAGCCTTTGGGTAATCCTGAAATAGGGACTATTAAAGATCATTATTTAAATAAAAACTCGGATGTTGAGCCATAAATAAGTAGTAGAAAGGAGAAAGACATTATGGATACGAGTTAAGAGTAACTCTCCATCACTGTAACATGATACTTTATACTAGTCCATCACAATGTCATGCATGAGGAGTACCGTAGGAGTTTGGCTTTCGGCTTGTACAATTCGGTTTCGCAAAGCTTCCCATTTCTTTACTTATCTTTGATATTTATGACCCACCCAAGTTGGGTGGTGTGCTGCTTTGCTGCTTCGAATTGTAGTTAGACCGCTTTGTCAGATATCGTACTGGTCTCGTCATCCGGTCCAGTAACAATCGACATTCTTGGTTCCGTTGGGACTGTAGCTTTTGCTCGTTTTCGTTGCGCTTGCCTTCCCCTCTTTGGTCTTTTCCATAACCTTGAACCTTCCAAGTTGGAAGGCTGTCGGTTAGCGCTACGGAGATGTGTTGAAGCTAGGTGTCAGGACGTCGAATGTCTCAGCACTCTGTCAGTTTTGTGCCTAGTTATTGCACTTTCTGACTGTATAAAGTATCATGTTACAGTGATGGAGAGTTACTCTTAACTCGTATCCATAATGTCTTTCTCCTTTCTACTATTTAAATAGAGCAATCTTTTATTGAAATCGTGAACACCTGAAGAAGGTACTACTGGAGATAGAGCGGTCAGTCTACCTTTGCGAATAACGACCCTCGATCGGGCATGAGAAAAGTGTCTTATTCGTCAGCTGGCGTTACTAGCGACGTTGAAAGTGTGTGGTACAGGCAGTAGCCATACAATTATTGTACTACTACTGGTGTCCTTGTCCTCCTGTCGCTGCTGTCACTTGTCGGCTTGGTCGACCGGTCAAGGCTTGAGAATGAGAACTACTACTACTACTACTACCAGTAGCACCAGTAGCAGTAGTACTAGTAGCCGCGCTGAATCGGTGTCTGTTCTGTACATGTCTGTACATCACTACTATGTCTGTACATCACTACTAACGTTAGGTGCGCACCATAATGGTGTAGCCTACCTGTACGGTTGCATTCACCATGTTTGCGGAAGTGGCTCGTGCACTATAAACATTCAGTGTCGAAAGAGTGTCATCGTTTTGCCCCTCACCGTTAGTTGCAGTGTTCACCACGGCATTGTTTGGCGTACTAGTAGTCGACTCTCAGAACATAAACGAAAATTGATATCAGTACTTGTACTACACACCAGAGAACTCTTTTCTCTCATCCCGTCTCTGGTCGCGCAGCATTCGCGAGGCGTGCACGGGAGGTTGGTTCCGTGAAAGTTGGGTGAGGCGGCATGTTTTGGATCGGCTTTGGCCCGTGTGGGAGTCTATTTCGCTAGGTGCGCATTGGCCTCCAGCTGACTAGTGTGTTTGCAAACAGTTGAAATAGGCGTTCACGAGGCGAGCATACCCCACGCGCTCTGCCGACATCCTAAACATCCTGGAACAGTTCTCGCTGGTGTCCTGCCGACATTCCCGCCCACTTTCTAGCCAAGCGGTCTGGCAAGGCCAGTGCGAGTCTGGTGTGTGGTTGACACAGACAGTTCAAAGGCAATGCAGACAGCTGCCTGCTAGTTCTAGCAATCTGCTACTCTCTACAGAGGTTTCCGAGTATTCAAGCGAGCGTAACACTTCCGTCGCTTGCATGTACCTCCGCGTTTCGAAAAAAGATCAGGATAGGTGAGGGAACCAGATAATCGAACACACATACTGTATGTATGCATGACATATGCTGTAAATCGGTAGCCAACAATTTTTTTCCTGATGGCGAGGGACCCGAATAAAAGAGGACGGGATAAGCGAGGTCTGACTGTAAAGTGTGCGTTTTAGTAGTGTTCGCTTCAGTACAGTGTTCCTCATACTAGCACAGTGTTCCTCATACTAGTACTACTATGGATGCGGCTAATGGGGTTTCTCAGCACTTGTGCCAGTGGTTGTGAGGCTTATCCACTCCCCCCCCCCCTCCTATTTTCGCCGCCGAGCATGCTCATCATTTCTCGACCAATGCCGCTTGCATGATCTGTAGGCTGGCTGCATCAATAATTGTGTGTTCTTCGTCTTTTACAGGCATGCTTGGTAAAATATTATTGTCATTGTTAATAATAACGACCTACTTGTTGTTGTTGTTGTTGTTGTTGTTGTTGTTGTTGTTGTTGTTGTTGTTGTTGTTGTTGTTGTTGTTGTTGTTGTTGTTGTTGTTGTTGTTGTTGTTGTTGTTGTTGTTGTTGTTGTTGTTGTTGTTGTTGTTGTTGTTGTTGTTGTTGTTGTTGTTGTTTATTTTACTTCACCAAATGAACAGGCAGACATGCCTTCTCACCTGCCCATAGGACTTCTTGCGCAGGGATGTGAATTGAATAATTATCCTATCCACAATGGGAATTAACCGTATTGCGTGACCGATCCTCCTTTTCCACCTGGACTCCTCATTGGTTTCCCGAGATCCACTCACCCCCAGTTGCTGCATCTGCCGCTAGCAGATTTTTCACCAATGCAAGCCTGTATTGCAATGCGTAGTGGGGGGGGGGGGGGTGGGGACGCATTGAGCTGCATTGTATACACTAACACTAGTGCATTAGAAGAAGAACTACATGTGTGTTGGAGAATCCTTTCACGTGAGCCAGTGGCATACCAAAATGCCAGAATTTGTTCACAATCCAGCCACTTGACTAGTTTCCACCGAATCCAGGGTTGCTGTGAGTAATTGTTAGCAGGAACCACTTTGGTGGTGAGTCTACTCACCTCCCATGGCTTTAGAAGCTGCCCCTATGCCTTGATCACTGAGAATGGTAGCATTCCTATGGATGCGGAAAACTCATGAAGCCTATTCTCTATGCAACTCATGAATGCTTTCTAGTAATCCCTTGAGCGTGGTAGCTGGACACGTAATTTGAAATTAATTCGCTGATGTCATCTTCACACACAGGGTAGGCTTTTAGCCTTTGGGAAATCCTTGACTATAAATATTAACCCTTTGTGTACGGACTGTACAACTTTCGATCCCCTGGGATCGAAACTTTTCAAAATATCAATCAATCGTAACTCAGTCGTTCCTGGGTTATATCCGAAAACTAAAATATGTAGGTCAAAGAGAAAACTCCCAGCTGTCCATTGAAACAATCGCTGAAGCGCTCCGATGTGTGGTTCCAGAGTTAGGAAGCTCGAAAGTCGAACCGCGGCAAATGTCGCTCAATAGCCGCTCGCACAAATTTGAATGAGGGATTTCCCCATCATTCTGGGCATGCAGTGACGTAGAAACACGTTCAAAATGGTAAACAGACTCATGGCAGTTTGTGAATTTTTTCGAAGTAACCGTTAGTTGTTACGAGCAAGGAGAGCGAAATGGCTGATGCAAGACGACTTCTGTCGGAATATTGGCGTTGCAGCTAAGACGCTTGGCTGTAGCGCTGGCGTTTTGACCTTCGTGGTGGCAAGCGTGGGCTCAATGTGTTCCTCTTGCGACGAGCTTTCCAGGAAGCCCCAGATTGAAAAAATCGTCAAAAGGAGACTAAAGTTATGACCCAGATAATTATAGAATTTGAGGTGAGTCGAGATCAAATTCAGTGTGTGTACGATTTTTTCAGTACATAAAGGGTTAATTTGCCATGGAAGGTGGCTGCCTTGCTGGTGTCTGCAAGCGTTGTGTGGTCCGGTCAGGTCGAGAACATAAACCTACCCCTGTACTACAAAGTTTGCAAAGAGATTTGAAATGGAAATAGTGTACCTTGCAAGCACTGGAAATTTATCCCCGCGCAACCTCACGTTTGGAAGGACAGTGCTCCAACCATCTTGCCATGCATTCACACACCTGCTTTTTTCTGTGGTACACTAAGACCTCGCTTTTCCGGACCACAACGTCACGGCCAATTCCATCTACCAGGCACCCTTTGGACGAGTTCCAGTGGAAATGTTACTACTCTTTTGTCCCATGCGTGGAAATAGTGACATCATGTTCCATATCTATGGCCTTTCCCCGTAAAAATGTATGTCACTCGGAGTTGAGGACATTTCAAAGTTACGGTCAGTGTCTGGTCCCGAACCGCCCGGATAAACGAGCTATGAGTGTGCCTGTGTTCACCGGAGCAAGCTAGCCTTGATTGTCCTTATTGTTCGGTTCTCTGCCTGTGTTCTATGTCTGTTTGCGTATCGTGCAGTGTTTGCCAGTCAATTGGACATAGAGCGTCATGTGATGGCGCTCCATCTCGAAGTGGTAGGTAGCATTTCCACCATTAATTTTTGTAATTTGTAATTTATTTCTGAATTCCCCAGAGGCTGAAAGGCCTGTCGAGGGGTCTCCATAATATCAGCATAAAAACATGATTGACGCACATAATGCGGCACATATACATGTACATGAACATGAATGTCGCATATAGAGAGGTGAGAGTGACATAACACTATTCCCTGTGGCCTAAAGGCTGCAGATCTGCCAGGTGGAATGCGTGGAAGCAGTTCTTTCCTCAGTGTTCACCCTCCAGTCGGCTACTACTTGCACTGAGAGGCGCACTAGAGGGCGACCCTTCTCTTCACTTTCTTTTCCCGCTGCAAAAACTATGACATCTTCTCTATTTCTTTTCTTGGCGCTGATAGGTGGAATTCTCTGCCTGTCTCGTGTCGTCAGCTTGAGCATCTATCCGTTTTTGTTTTATTTTTTAAAGAGCACTTAGGGTTCCCTGTAACAAGACGGCAACGTCTGTAGGGCCTTCCCTATATAAAAATATGAATTCTACTACTACTACAATGATTTCCCTAGAGTCTTGCAGACTGTATCTCTTTGAGTACACGTGTCCTGGCTGCGATCCTGCGAATGGGATTTGGGTGTCTCGAGCGTGGTTTGATTTACCCATTTTCCGTCGCTTCAGCCAAACGGACATAATCACTTTGCATGTTCTGCAATCCGAGGAGCATTTGATGTTTTGCAGTGGGTGTCAGCATGTTAAGCCTTGGATGTCGCTTGGGAGAGGCTTTCAAGGCTGCCACACTTGGAGGGAGAAAAATCTGAGGGAGGGGGGGGGGGGTATCCCCCGGCAGGGGTGCAGGGGGCAGCGCCCGCGATGATTTTTTTTAGGAAAATGGCTTGCTGTTGGGGCTCCAGAACACATTTTTTTAAACTGTCCAGCACACGCACTACAACCATGTCAATTATGCGGCAACCGTAGCCTTGTAGCAACGTTCTACAGTAACACTTGCTGCTTTATTCTATTCCAGGCACATACATCATACACCAATATTGAAAAAGAAGTCTACGAAATTGTAGGAACCACAGCTATACCATACATGTATTGGCATATTGTGTATGTAGGAAAAACAGAGGTGGTTGCCACTGAAAAACATTGCATATGAACTGCACAGTATGACAAACAGTGGTAATGTAAAGGCCATTGACAGCTCACCATCAGTCACCGCTTGCGACATAGCAGAGGCCTGCGACACTGTAGCAGAAAGACTGGGTTGCGTCTTCGTAGACTTCGCTCGCTTCTGATTAGCCACCGATTTTCCATGGCGCTCCAAAGTCATATGCTGCTCCATTCCCAAACTCCAAGTCCTTCTGGCATATTTTGCAGAAGGCTTTTCCATCCGCGCGTTTTGATTTGGTCAGCCAATCTTTCAGCACAGGGTTCTCCTCCCAGACAGCTTGATAGCTCACACAACGCCGTTTCTTTTTGCCAGCGAGTACAGTAGCCACAGACTGTGTTTCGACTGCTTCAATTTCACTTGCATCCGAGTCAGACGACGAATCAGACACTGCAATCCTTCTCTTCGTAGCTGCGGGTGGACGAGGTACGGAACCATCATCAGATCAAGCGGAAAGATCGTCGTCATACACCAGAAACGGCTCTTCCGCACGACACTCATCCCAAGACGAAGTTTCGTCGTCGAACCAAGGCGTTCGCGGAGTCGTTGAAGGCTTCGAATCCGACACTATCAGCTGGAAATCCTCGGAGCCTGAGTGATAGTCTGACGACATTCTGAACGATGAAAAGTTAGTTGATCTAACTACTACTTCAACTACCACCACTCGCACCAGAAGTCGAGAAGAAGATCAGCCGTCCTACTCTCGCCTGCATGCGCGTGCAGAGCTCTAGAGGTCGTTGGTCCAAGTACAGTCATAGGGACCTTTCGCATTTGCTACGAAACGAATGCGAAACGAAAGTTTGATTCGGCTCGTAATCGTTTCGTTGAAAACAGATTTCAGGTTTCGCAAGTCGTCATGCAAATGTGCATGGCAACTACGAATCAGGGAGTAGTAAAATATTGTACTACTCCCTGCTACGAATACGGCCACGGACGCCGGTAGTTTGGCGTACGGGTTTTTACACGCACACGTGCATGGATCATGGAATCCAGGGAAAAATGTGTACCTTGCAAAACATGTGTACCTATCCAAATAAATGTGTACCTGACGGATTCGGAGCGTGCCACGAATGAAGAGGCTTCCATTCGTGAAAACGAGTTCTCCGCAGGGACTCTGACGAATCCTCGAACCCAGGTGACGAATCAGCATTCGTTTCGTATCCGTTCGCGGGGTGCGAAAGGTCCCTAACAGTTTTGACACGACGGATCGGATGTCACGCCAGGATTCAGGAACAGGGCATGAACCCTGTGATTCTGCATGCAGCGTCGCGCAGCGCAATGCGCATGCGACGCCGAAACGGCTGAATCGATCATCACTGCGTTTCACAGCCATTTTTGCTCTCAGCCTTTTTTTGCTCTCTCGAATGTTTTCACAGCCATTAATTTTTTGCTCTCTCGACTGTCTTCACAGCCATTTTTTGCTCGTTTTTCTGCCGGTGCTGTTGAGGTTGCACTCGTAATTGTGTTTATTTTGCCCGTATAAGAGGCTTGGCAAAAAAAAATCATCACTGCGTCGTCGTCGATCAGTGCGGCAGTACATGTACTGCAGGTGCAATGCTGTCTAGCGCCTGTAGCAACCGCCGTTGCTACAGCTCATCCCGTACACCGTACATACTCCCCTACATAATAATAATAATGACAGTTCGCATTTCACTCATTGCATGAGGTCAACGCATCTGTTAACAATTTCGAGCCAAGCAGCTCTATCAGAAGCAGATTGCACAGCATCCAGAAGCGACAGATTAATGCATTGTAAGTCTTTCTTGACAACGTCGATCCATCTCAGACGTGGCCGTCCTCGGGGTCGTCGTATGTCTGTTGTGTTGATCGACATTAGGAGGGCTTGGAAAGAGGACGATTCTTCGCCTTCCCTCACTACATGGCCGAACCACAGCAGTCTCCGTTGCCTGCAGACTTGGGATAGTGGGGTCTGCTCGGTTCTGGCATACAGCGCTGTGTTCGAGATTCGTTGTGGGTACGTGATACCAATGATGGTACGTAGTTTCTTCCGGTGCCATACATTGACGACGTCGGTTAATGTTTGCGATAAGGTCCAAAGCGCACAATTATACAGCAAGACAGGCAATATCAGGCAGGAAAACATACACAGCCTGGAATTCAGGTTGTGGCGTTTCCATGGAATGCCTGCAAATGCCCGATTTGCAGCAGACACTCTGGCTGCTATGTCTTCTGCTGTGCCTAGCATACTCCCCAGCAGCTTCACCGATTTCCAGGAATCATCTTCCTTGGTGACAGTGAAATATTGAGTTTTTGCCACGTTCAGCTTCAGATTGTCATCCGAGAAAACGGGTTCACACACACGGACGGTTTCTTCCACAGATGATCGCTCGTTCTGATGGGCAGTGGTGTCGTCTGCGTATTGTGTGAAAGTTGCTGGTAGGTCTGACGCGGGTAGAGCTTGCTCTCGGATCCTACGCATGGAACCTTCGGCGTAAGTTATAAACATTATTGGTGACATTGGGTCACCCTGGACGACGCCGATGTTTGTTGGAAATGGTTTGCTTAGTTGTTTACCAAGCTTCGTGCGGGCTGTTGTGTTTGATACTAGGACTGCAGTGGTGGACGTTGGTGCGCCAGCAGTGGCTAACCTCTCCAGAGCAACCTGACGAATGACAGTGTCAAACGCACCGCTGAAGTCCAATAGTGCCGATGAATATGACCAGTCGCCAAGTAGTGCGCGCTCACACATCGTCCTGGCGTAAAAGACACCATCCGTGGTCGATCTGCCAGGGCGGAAACCAGCTTGGCTCTCTGCCACATATGACTGCACATGGAGTGTGTGTCGTCGAGTGAGTATTGACGTCAAGATCTTACGGACGCCTCCCCTACATACTCCAAGTTTTTTTTTACGGGGTAACGGCCTCTTTTACGGGCAAAATAAAGTCATGTAGACGTGAAAAAAAATTGAGATACCATGAAAGTTAAAATAGAATTTTATTCAAGTACAATACATTGGGAAACTCCAAGAAATTCCACGTAAAACGGACGGAATTCAGTTTTCAATGGCCGATGCCTACCCCAGCACCATCCTGCGTCGACAGGCCTGTCAGGCGCCTTCTAGACCCGCGTAGCCGGAGGTCGACTGCATGGATCACAGCAAATTGGCTGCGAACTCGCACCCAAGCCATGATGATAGAAAATGGCTTGTCCCACTTGAGGGCGAGGCGACCAGCAAGTCGCTTCTGATAGCTGGCGTATTCGCGATGTAGCACCCCATCCGTGGAACAAACCAGTGGTGTGAACGACCCACGGAGGTCCTCGGAGGCCTGACGATACTTCTTTTTCTTCGCGTTAGCAGCGCGGTTGGAAGTAGCTTCCCAGGATGAATGGGAGTAACTGGGTGCGTTGGCATCAATGATGCGATTATCAAAAAACGCCACCCTGTTATCCTCCCACACACCCCGGGCAAGCCAATCTGCCCGAAGAGCAGGCTGCCCCGTCCGATCACCCTCCGGCAACATGATCGGCTCCACGACAACACCACCGAATGCCATATCAGCTAGCTTTGCATCGCTATCACGCAGATCATTGTGGCCTCGCTTGATAAGTCCACCTTTCGGGCAGTCAAGGCCATGCTGGAGAGAGAAAGGCTTCCCGCAACCATCACATTGCGCTGGTAGGGCAAGCGGCTGCCGACCATAGCGGATGGCAAGTTGATCGCGGAATTCTGTACTCGACAGATCATACCCCTCGCGCTTAAGGGGCAACACCGTAAGCCATCCGGAGGCATTTCCCCGTACGATGCGGGAGAGGGTGCGCTCCTCAAGCTGCGGCAGGTCACTGAGAATTGATTGGCTGATTTCAGCGGAAATCACATCTCGTTCCCTGCTGATTTGGCTTGTGATGCGGCGACAGTGAGCGCTGTGGTCATTTACGTTTACGGGGTTACCAGATTGGATTGAGTTGCGCAGGATGTCAGTAGCGTTTCTCGAATTCTGGTAAGCCTGGGGTGCTGTGTGGACAGGATCGGCCAAAGCCAAGCCACCATACTTGACTGGCAGGGTGAGGAGCTGGTGTTCCCGAGGAAGAACCTCCCGCCCAAGGATGGCTGGGGCAAATTGCTCCAGGATGACGTCTCGAAGCGGAGCAAACTCCTCCTCAAGACCCTGGACAACACGCTGCAGGTATGACCACTCACATGAGAGCGAGCGATTCAACGCACAATACGCCGACTGGGGGTACATACTCCAAGTGCATGCAAGCACGCGAGCGTTTTTACAGCTACATGTACAAATGACCCGCCAACTGGACTAAAACGCGCTCAAAATAAAATAAACGGTTGTCCCTCTTTGGGAACAAAATCGGTCGGTTTATTATTATTATTATTATCAAATTTTTGATAGGGCAATCCCCACAGGCCTAAGGCCTTCTTACAGGGTTTGTCGGACAGCCCATCAAAAATCGGACGATTTCCGAAAAATCGGAGCAAGTGGCAGCTAGCCCTGGGCTTTAGATCACCTTCAGTTGCATTCATTCAGTGTTTGTTTCGTTTTACATAATGATTAGGGGTGCGTTTGGTTGGTACGATCTAGAACAGGATCGAACAGCTGGTGCACATGGAGCAGCCTCATGCCAACCAAACGGTACTCCAGAAACAGAGCACTTTTTTGTGGAGAAATGTGCCAAACTTGGTGCATTCTTCAAAATGTGTATGGGTCACCATGGTCACTTTGGAAGGTACAACGAGTCCACCCCAAAACGGCAAAAGCTTATGCACGTGATCATTTGGGACCAAAATCGATGTTCCCGCCAGGGTTCACTGTGAAAATGTGAAACTGCTCGGTCTGCTCAGGCCTGGAGGCCGGAGCAAGCAGAACATGTTCTGGCCGACCCAGAGCAGGTGCAGTCCCAACCAAACGCGCTGTTCTGGTGAATTCTGTTCTAGTTCGTATCAACCAAACGCGCCCTTGGACTTGACAGAGTATGCTAATATTTTCGTGAAATTATGCTTTTCGCATTGCTAAAAAAAACTGCAGAATTATGCTATTTTTATGCTAAAAGTTATCATATTATGCCACATTATGCTGACATATGCTGCTAATGTATATGATGGTTCTGTGCAAAATAACAGATGAATTTTTGTGGAGGGCGTTGTACTGTAGTATCAAAAGTTCAACGGGGTCAACGCACCGTCCGACCTAGCTATGACCGTCACCCTGGTCACTGTCTGATTGAAGTGGACTGGACATGTTATCAAGGGAGTCGTAAGCCTACGACTTCCTGGTGCATCTACTTGTACTTGTACTTGTAGAACATGTGTAGTATCCCTGCCCGACCAATACGGAAGCAATACAAAACTAACTTGACCTTATGAATATTAATTTTAGTGTATCTCCGCATATAAGCGTACGGCGTCTGCTGCATTAAAGCTGCTGCGCATTTCTGTTTAGATGAGATTTCGATAATAACGAGCTATTCAACCTCCAGGTGTGCACCGGAGAGAAAGTCATTTATTTGCCGCTTCTTCTTTAACTTCTAATATATCCTAGGTGTGTACCTAAGAGAATAATAAAAAAGATAACTCGTGTTAATTGCACCGCGCCTACCACTCGGCTACCTGTTACACATGTACAACTGTATGGAATTTGATGCGAACAGGCGGATTATTCCAATTTTATGCGATTCGTATGCAATTTGCCTCGAATTATGCGATTATTCAATTTTGGTAGGAATTATGCGAAAAATTATGCTAGCATAATCTGTCAAGCCCTAATTATGATGCTCTGCTCAGGAAATCTGTTTGGAAGGGCATTCGTTATTGGTGAAGAGTCGTGGGCTGCCGTATGCAACATGGATAGTGATGGTGATGGCTTGACAAATGGCATGGAGCTGGGAGATCCTGGCTGCACGTTCGTGGCTGGACAAACACCCGAACGTACTACGAACCTCAGTAATCCAGGTAAAGTTGTGTGTCTGTGTGCGTGTTTTTGTGTGTGTGTGGGGGGGGGGGGGGGATGAGGGAAGGTGCACGCATATGTGCTTTTGTTTGTGCATGTGTATGTGTAGTTTGCTTCTGCCCATGATTGCTCTGCCCGGAGGCAGATTACTCACTGCAGTCCTCCCGTCCATGCTCTTCTCACCCCAACCCTTACTCTGGCTTCCGCTGTGCATGCGGAAAGGTCTGCCGTTGTCCTGGGATCTCAAGCGCCACGCTCTGTGCTACAAAGCCATCAGATATTCCCTTCGCTATCATTGCCGTAGGCAATGGGCATGTTCAAGGTTTAAGGTGTATGTGTGTGTGTGTTTTTATGTGTGTGCGTGTGTGTGTGTATGTGTATATGTGTGTGTGTATGTGTGTGTGTGTTTGTGTGGGTGGTGTTTGTGTGTGTGTGTGTGTGTGTGTGTGTGTGCGCATATGTGGATGTGTGTTTGTTTGTGTGCGGGGGGATGTATGTTGAATGCACAAGTGTGTACGTTTCTTATTCTTGCAAGTTCTACTGCACACAATGTAAGCGTAGTTCGGTATCTTGTCAAAGGGATGAGCTTTATAATTATGCCCTTAGGACTGTATATCTGCGAACAAATCGTGCCCAGGCTTTTGAAAGATTGTCTGGAGGACAGGGAATGGCTGACGTTTTCTTTTCTTTTCTTTTGTCCTGTTCAGCATTTGCCTGCTCAACCACGGCCAATCCTTTCTGCTTGCGTAAGTATGAGAATTGATAGTGGATAGAGATTAAGTTCAATGGCAATTATTTATTGGTCCTTTGATGAAATCCACCTCAGTTCCGTATCCTTCTTAACATGTAATTCTAGGTGAATTACAGGCCAGGGACCTGCCATGTTTCAGGTGTAATGTAGAATTAGGTGACCAGCCTACCCTTCATACACAATGAATACTCTAGTGCCTTTTGGGTGTAATCTAAATTTAGGTGCCTGAATTCTCTACCGAATTTACCGAAATACAGTTACACCGAAATTTACGTCTCACCAGGTCTGCAAGAATGAGCTGGGATAGAGAGCCAAGGGTAAATGTATAGAAAAGAAAAAAGGGCCAAGGAACTACAAGTTACGCTATCATATCCACTAACACTACCGGCTACTGAACAATAGCCAGTTAATTGTAGAACGTCAGTACCGTCGGTCAGTGTCTTGCAATGTTATCGCATGATCTGATTGTTCAGTAACTGGTGGTGTTAGTGGACATTATAGCCTAGCTTGTAGTTCCTTGGTCCTTTTTCTCTTTTCTCGAAATAAACGTGTGATACAAGGCAGACGTACCCACAATAGGGGCGTCTGAATTTCGGGAGTTCTACTGTGTATGAAAGGAAAGCTGGGCTGAAACTTTCGCCTGTGTGTAGCTGTGCGATAGAATTATCATTGATATATCTGTGTTTATGTGTCTGTCTGTATGAGTGCACGTGTGTGTGTGTGTGTGTGTATGTGTGCGCGTGTTTGTGTGTGTGTGTGTGTGTGTGTTTGCATGGTCATGTGTGGCTTGACGTATGGGGATGTTGTGTGCAACTGTGTATATGTATTTCCATGCTGTTCAGCTGTCACTACCGCAGCAACAGCAGCAACGGAACAAGGTAAAGACCAATCAGCAGCTTTAGATCTTTGACTCACTGTCTTAAAAATGTTAACGGAAGTCTACAAAGAAGGAGGTATTTTGTTGTGAAGGTTGCAGTGAAGTGGAGAGTTAGCCCTTATGTGCAGTATTTAATGCGTGTTTTTTTTGGGGGGGGGGGGAGGAAGTACATGCATGCTAACACACACCCGCACACACATACACACACACACACACACACACACACACACACATACACACACACACACATACACACACATACTTGTACTTGTACTTGCTCACTGCCAAAACTGGTCACGTGGGTCTCCCCGGGAGAGGGGAGAGAGACTCAAAAGGAATCTTGGAAAGATGACTCAATTGGCTATTGAACCGCCCAACGGCCGACACCCCCTGAAATCCCCAAAACTCTGGGTGGACTTGAAAATGATCCCACTTATGGGCTCACCACACCTCAGTAAGTGGGTGAGGACAAGGTGCATAAAAAGGATTGACGGCATCAGGGTATCCGTCCTGGGATCCAACTGCAGGTACCCCTGCCCCCAGTGAAGGTAATACTTGCTACTAGTGTGGGTGGCTAAATCAGAGTGGATCTGATACAAGCTTCACTAGCACCATGATTACACAAGAGTTAATCTAGCCAGAAGTAGTCCATGATTAACAGGTATGTATACTTCAAATAGAAAGTATATGAACCCTGAAACCAACAAAGGTGGTAGGTACAACATTACACCTTCAAGCAGCCGAGCCCGTTGGCAACAGACCCAACACTATCCGGCATAAGTGTACCCACCAACCGAACTAGCTGGCACACACACACATACACACACACGCACACACACACACACATGCACACACACATGCACACACACGTACACACATACGTACTCATGTACAAACATACAAGTGTGCACATGAGCACGCAAGCAGACACACACCCGTACAACACACACAAGCACACACACACATGCACACACATGTACACACATGCAAGTGTGCACATGAGCATGCCAGCAGACACACACCCGTACAACACACACAAGCCGACACGCACCCAAACACAAACACACATGAATGTGCATGCCTTGAGTTCTTTATTCTCACGATGGCACCATCGCCAATCCTTGCATTCCCATTGCTCGACGCAATGGTAGCATCAGAAGTTACAGTATTTCATGCTTCAAGTCCAATCACACGCCAACACCATCATACACATATACAGTACCGGGTCATCAGAAGGTATTTATGTGTGGTACCGTGATCAGCCAGCTGAAATACAATTTACTCGTCAAGGAGGGGTGGCTGAGCCAAAAAATTGCAAATTTAGAGCCCAGATGATGGTGTTCTTGATTGGTTCATGGGGTACTTGATTGGTTCATGGGGTACTTGATTGGTTCATGCGGTACTTGATTGGTTTATGGGGTACTTGATTGGTTCATGGGGTACTCGGGGCAAAACGTGGCATGGTCAATACCGTCGTTACCGTACTGTGTCCAATGCCCCTGTAGGATATTATTGTATACAAATATCGATGACCAGTCTGCAGTCGATATTGTTTGCCTGATGATTGCACACAGACTCAGTGCATGAACCTCAGAGTAGCAAACCACAATGATTGATCCATTGTTGGTTGACATGTGTATGTGTTTGTGTGTGAATTTGTGTGTGTGTGTATGTATGTGTGTATGTATGTGTGTGCATGCGCGTTTGCCCGTGTGTGTGTACTTGCATGTGTGTGCATGTGTGTGCATGTGTGTGCATGTGTGTGCATGTACGTTTGTCTTTATGTTGTTTGTGCATACCTTGCCACTTGTCTGATGATATTGCAACAACAACCTATCCAGCAACCACCTATATAGCAACCACTGAACCAGCAACGATCGTAACAAGCATTAATGACACGTCCGTTGATGTCACCTCGGCTACTGAAGTCATGACAACAGGTATGGATAATTTACACTTATTGGACAGTTCATATTTATTTTACTTTTAGACTCGGGTGGAGAACCAAGGATTAATTTGCAAGGAGAAATGAGCACCAAGGAACTACAAGCTGATTGTGAATTAACTGGTGGTGTTAGTGGACATTATAGCGTAACTTGTAGTCCCTTGCTCCTCGTTTCTTCATATTTATGTTATAACCTATTGAAAATACATTTTAAGGATCCCCCATTGGCTAGAAGCCTATTTTGGGGCGTACGTCTTTGGTGAAGGGATCAGATAACTCGTGTAAATGAAGAAAAAAACAAAAACATTCTGTAGTCCCAGGGACCAGTACATTTGTAATGCACATGTGCAGTCCTCAATGGACTTTTCCAGATTTCTGTCCCTTTGTTTGGCTGGTGTTTGCACATCGAGCTGGGTACGTGAACATTAATATTAAAAAAACACATGCTTGAATCAAAGACCAGATCCTAATGCCTCGTAGCTAAGGTGATTGGTTGATAAATATTTTGAATCCTTGGCAATCTCCATCCTGGGCTGATCAATTGTTCATTCAATTGTGTATAATTATGTCTTTTTTCAATCGGATACATCCATTGCCACTAGCCTTTTGTTTCCTGCCTGGAACCATTCTTTCTGCTTCATTGTATCACATGCTCTACAGTGGAAATAACCTCCATCTATCTTCCCATCTTGGTGCTCCATCACAAACTCTCGGCTGCACCGAATAGAATACATTGCCTGTATTTCACCCATTGAGCACCATTCCGGAATTGTCATGAGGAAGCTCTAAATACTGGCAGGTAAACTAGTAATATAGTAATAAAGAATGCCAGTGCTTTGAGCTTCCTCATCACAACACCTTGATCATCAATGGCCTATTGAAAACAGACAACGCCTTCCATTCAGTGCAGCTGAGAACCTGTGCTGGAGCAGCTTGCGGCAAAGTAGGATGGAGGTGGTGTTTTCAAGGGTCCCTCAGGAAGGCCATGTGTTCCTCACTATCATAAAAGAGTCTTACGGTAGGTAAGGTGCGGATGCAAGTTTTTAAGCTCCGCTTACTTTAGGTCCCTGTGGCAGAGAACTTGATCTGGACACACTAGGAATATGGCATTGAATATGGACATCGACCTCGCCTTGCTGACTTTCGAAGAGCTGCGGCATCTTGCCAAACAACATCCTATTGACGGAGCCGAGTCAAAGAGCCGAGTTGATCTTGTGGTTTCCCTAAGACAAGCTGGGGTGGGTGTAACCCCGATCAAGGCCAATGAGGTCAGTACTAGTAGTAGTCTGAAGTCTCTAAACGAGCTTGTATGTGTGGTGATAGAGCTAAGAGAGCAACTTGAGCAAGCGAAGCATGATAATGCCATTGTTTCTTCACTTCGGGATGAGGTTTCCAGCCTAAAATTGGAAGTACTAGAGCTGAGGAACTTCACTACAGGCGCACTTTCTCAAACTGCCAATGACACCCACAACCGTCGCACAAGTGCTAACGAAGTTACCATAGAGCCTTCCCTGTATGAAACTGACACATCCATCACCACTGCACCGCAATCACAGCACACCTCCACATCGCAGCATGCACGCTCAAGTTCAAATGACCGTGCTACCGGTATGCACTCGCAACCACGTGCCGCTTCCCAGTCCAGCGACACTACTCGTACAGCACCTAGACCTGCTGGCAACGGTCACGTCACTACGGACAGCAGTTCCCGCAACAAATCAGATGGACAGAGCTCTTGGGTCGATGTTGTACGACGTCGGGTCACATCTCGGTACGTCAAGCCTATGCCCACGGTCGAAACAAACCCTGTAGTCCTGACAGGTGTCGAAAAGGTGGACAAAGCGATATTCTATGTAGGAAACGTCCACATGGGCTGCAGTGCCGACTCCATCAAGGATTGGTGTCAAGAGCGTGCAGTGGATGTGCTCAACTGCACCATCTTGGAATCTCGCACCTTCGGAACAGCTTACGCCAGAGTGACATTCCCAGCCTCAGCTACGGAAAAGGTACTGGGTGACGGATTCTGGCCTGCAACTATCCAGCACACCGTAAGAAAGTGGCGGTTTGCAGATTCAAATACGAACAAACCAGGTAAAACCTCCACGTCGTCAGAATGATGGCTTCCGCACCGCTGAGCGCCCAGGCCTTCCCATATTTTCCTAAGACTCAACATAACATCACTATTGTTACGATTAATTGTCGCTCCGTGTCGAACAAAATCCCTGAACTCCATGCATTGTGTCGATCCAACACACCGACTATCCTATGTCTGACAGAAACCTGGCTCTGCCCGATACATATGGTTCCGTGGACTCCTAGCTAAATTATCTGTGATGTACAATGTTTCCGGAGCGTCTCTGGCGTGGATTACGGACTACCTAACAGATAGAACGCAATCAGTGTCAGTCGAAGGGGTACTCTCAGACCCACTGCCTGTGAAGTCGGGAGTCCCCCAGGGATCTATACTGGGGCCTCTACTATTTTTGTTGTATATAAACGATCTACCTGACTGTATAGATGGTTTGTCACTATTTGCTGATGACACAGCCCTCATTCAGTTTGACGCTGACATTGCAAACCTGTGTACGAAGCTTCAGACTGGAATCAATGTTGTTCATGAATGGATGTTGTCATGGCGTCTGAAACCCAATATCTTGAAAACAGAAATAGTCTTTCTCCCTCAAATAGACCACCCTCCTACATTTACCCTTCCCGGACTTGATTCGGCTATTAATATTACTATTGTAGATACGCACAGGCATTTGGGTGTTGTATTTGACTCGCAATTGTCCTGGAATTCTCACGTAGATTTTGTATGCAACAAAGTTAGCAAATCTGTAGGTTGCCTGATGTCTCACTGCTCCCACTTGTCTCCCGAATGTATTCGTCTCTTTTATAAATGCTACCTCCTTCCTATCTTTCTGTACGGCGCCACTGCTTGGCATTCCCTGCTTAGTAAATCTGCTGTACAGACACTAGAAATACATCATAAACGTGTGTTGAAAATTATTTTTCGTAAACCCACTCTTTTCCCCTCTACTGATCTATATAGTTTGGCCTCCACCAGCCCCATCTCTATCCTGTCGCAGAGACAGTCATGCGTTCTGGTCCATCGTATTAAACTGAACATTGTCCCTGAACATCTCACCAAGTATAATTGGTTTACTTTCGCACGGGACACTCGCAATGGCATAGTACTTCCCAGAGCTTTGTCAACTATGTTTACCAAATCTCCTATCTTCTCTGCATACTCGTATTGGCTCAAGCTGCCCATGGAAATGAAGACAATATCCAATATTAGACAGTTCATAGACCATGTTAAATGTCATGCCACGTTGTAGGCTCGCTCGCCTCTTTTGCTAGCTTATCTCGCCGCTCTCCACCATGGTCAACATAGTGATACATTTCACCCCGCTGATGCATTATTTTCTTCCGATTATCATCTTCTTTCCTTCATTCTTTTTTTTTTTTTTCTTCTTCTCTTGCCATGGCTGGCTAACGCCCCCTCCTTTGCATTGGCTTCTGCCATTGGACGGTGAAATAATAATAATAATCATGATCAAGAAAGTGAAGCTGAAACTTCTTGCTAGTGAAGCTGAACCAAGAAATGAAATTCTTGAATCCCAAACCCCGACCACCATCCCCTCCTGGATTGATTACTTATAATTATAGCCCGCTACGACTTGCCTCTCAACTGATGGTTGGCGTGAAGAGTCGCTGACGGTGTGTGGGATTATCGCATTGGTGCAAAAGAAACAAAATTTAATTTGTGCTGCCCAGCAAGCCGAATTGCGCGGTGGTGCAAAAGAAAAGAAACAAATTTGTGCTGCTCAGCAAACTGCTGGGCAGTGTGTGTGTGTGTGTGTGTGTGTGTGTGTGTGTGTGTGCGTGTGTGTGTGTGCATGTGTATGCGGGTGTGCGTCGTGTATTATAAATTGTAATGCTACGAAGGCAAAACTACAAGTTAATGTTCAATTTAAGCTGTGCAATGAAAGCTTGAATTTTGCAAAAACTTCCCGCAAATCGGTTGTGATTAGTGCTGAAGGGTCAATGTAAGTCTACAAAACAAATTTCCGGTGTGTTAAAACTTCAGCTTCCCTGGCTGCGTACGTGTCGCACTGAACCTTGGAAAACAAAATTTCGGCCGCAACAAATTTTAGGCCAAAAATGCCCAGGCCGAAAGAGATGTGGAGTATTAATTTTGCAACAAGGAGGACTAGTTTCGCTGTAAGCATTTCCTGTAGTGTATGTCGACATGTATTAATAAAAATGTGAAACGATGATCGCAAGGCACACAACGAAAAGGAAAGAGGATTTGTTCAGAATGGAACATGTCGACATAACAGGAAATGCTTACAGCGAAACTACTTCGAAGTACATTATAGACCTCCTTGTTGTTACATTAAAACTGCTGTTTCCGAAACGCTTGTTAGCGAGTATCATTATTTTTGACTTAGTGTATAGAAATGTATAGTGGGTAGCGAATGAAGTGTGAAGAGTGGTGGTATCTGCTGTAGAGAGTCGCTCGTCCAATCACTGTCTTCTTAATGTGATTGCTTGGCTGCAGGTGGTCAGTCAGCCCTTGCTACCATTCCTAGCATGGTGTTGCTGGCCCTGATCCTGGCAGCCATGCTGTTGCACTAGTCACAACACAGAGTGGCTGCTGGCACAACAAGCGGCGCAGATTCATGCCCCACGCTCGGAATAACACGTCTTGCAGCTGGTCTGACTTGATATACACATGTATCATCTATCGTCTCCCAGCTACAGGCCGCCGCAACCTGGATATTGCTATTTTCTGCTAGTTGCTTCGAGTTTGTGTTAACCTGCAATTATGCCGAATCTGCGCTATTTTTTCTATCTATCTATCTTTCTTTCTATCCATCCATCTATCTATCTATCTATCTATCTATCTATCTATCTATTTATTTAGCTATCTATCTATTTATCTATCTATCTACATATATCTCTTCTCCTCTCTCACCATGCATGCGTCACACTCTCTTGAGATATTTATATATATACACACTTGAGAGGGACGAAAAGCGTTTCTTCTGTAACTCTGAGTTTCACGGTTTTAACCGATCATCAGACAGCAACTTGACTACAATTTTCAGAAGATAAGATTGATATATGTTGGACTCAGTAGAGCGTCCAGCCCCTATATGATGTCCAACCCCTATATAGAGTCCATTGGTCCAAAATCCACTGTACAGAGTCCACACTTGGAATCAACTGTGAGCTCAAAGTTTCGGTGGACATCACTCCCTGTATAGAGTCCAGCCAATTGGCTTCACCCCTATATAGAGTCCATTGGTCCAAAATCAACTGTACGGAGTCCAAACTTTGAAATCAACTATAAAGAGTCTTTATGTGGACAACACCCCCTGTATAAAGTCCAGCCAATTAGGCATCCCCTATCGAGTTCGAAAATAGACATAGGATCTGCTGTAAGCAGTGAATATTAACCAGAAAACGGCCTCTCCCTTTAATCCTTTACATCATTCACTTCTCAAGATAAAAAATATGTATTGAGGCGCCACTGTAGCCACTTCATTACATGAAAAACCCTACAAACACCATCCTCAAATCAAGTGGTCTCTTCGCAGACGCTGCAAATTACAACATCTCAATCATGTAGTGTTGCCAAATTATTGTGCACGCACACGCACACACACATGCACACACCCACACAACGCCAAGAAAATAACTAGAAAAAAACCAAACCAAGAATCGAAAGAGAATAATGGAGAGCCCAGGATTAATTATTTGTTTTCAAATTATTGTGCGCGCGCGCGCACACACACACACACACACACACACACACACACACACACACACACACACACACACACAACTTATACAACGCCAAGAAAACACCAAGAAAAGAGTAGAGACACAATACACACGCAACTCCAACAGCCATGCAAACGTCCACCCATTTACATGTAAAGTCAAGAGGGACAACAAATAATTATACGAAACGAATGCGTACGGGGACGGGTACACGCACGTTTACATACACGTAGTAGTGTAAGAGAGTAACATAGTGCAGTGGTCAGCATAATACTAGCACATGCTGAGAGTGCAATAGCAAGCTACACCATTGCTCATGGCCATGCAAATGTTCAGCAGCACTCAGTTCCGCAAGCTTCTGAAGATCAGCACACCTGCAACAAATAGATAGCACAATGATACTCTTATTACCGTAATGATGCATGGGAGCACACAACTACCAAGTTCTCAACGAATGTGATGCTCAATGAAAATCAATCCACTCAAAGACCTGTGAACAGGTGATGGTGGGGACAATAATCTATTAGTAATACGAGGAATAAGATCGTTTGTGCACACTCAAGACGCACAGACACACCAACATACATGTAGTGTACACAGTGTTTCACTTCACTTCAACTAAATTGAAATGAGATGATTTGAACAATCTGTACAGCGTTGCTGTCAGTCAGTCTTCCCCAAGATGGAAATGCAATGATTTGTTGTCACGAGGCAGTTTCACTGACACAATGTCATGTTCGTGACATCAAAACGGTTACTTCAGGGAATACGAGTATTAGCTTGAGAACCTTTTTCTTGTCATTGGCATACAAGCAATCCTCCTAGTCCTACTACTACTAGTACACTGGCACTGCGTTTGTGGATCCCATTGTATTTGACATCATACTACAGGAAGAGTGTCGTGGAGTTCACATAATTATCACAGGGATAAACTTGAATACATTTCTCATGAAATAAAAATAATTGATGATAGCTAGACGATCATATACGATAGATGCAAAGTCCTTGCAGTCCTTGAGGACTATTACGAAGTGGTTAATTACTTTTAGGGCATTCATTCAAGCAACATCAAACAAACGCGATACGCTCCTTGAAAATGGAAAAAAATTCAAGCATAACGACAGAACAGCAGACCAATCGAAACGAGTAAAAGCTTCCTTACCTCAGTCATGGTCCTGCCATGTAGTTGGACAGCCTTTTGACACGGTGGTACGCAGCTCTTGTCCAGTCAAACAGGGGTATCCTTGTGGCGTCGAACGAAAGAGAGTGTCAGTGTATCTGGTTCGTCAGATTGCAACTGTGCTGAACTTTTCTCGTTCTCCGCTTTCTGCTTTCATCCCTCGCTCTGATGAAACTGTTCAAACGTCTTACTAGCAGCAATGGCCAGCCAAACAGGGGATCCTTGTGGCGTCGAACGAAAGAGAGCGTCAGTGTACCTGACTCGTCAGATTTGAACTGTGCTGAACTTTTCTCGTTCTGCAATTTCTGCTTTCATCCCGCGCACTGATGAAACGTCTTCAGAGAACCACAAGACGCTTTCCAGATTTGATTTTGACCGTCTCCTTATCCTCCTTGGTTAGCTCGAGACAGATTACTGTTAGCAACTGCACAGCAGAATTGGCAGCCATGGCTGAAGTCACGGAAGAAAGGAATGCGCTGCCACGAGGCAAGCAAAACTGAAAATGTGTTCTCTTTCGGGCACAACACACAGGACGGCGTGACTGGATAAACTGGACTTCTGGACTGTGAATAGGGGACTTGTAGAAAAAGTGTACTCCTTATAGGTGATTGCGCGGCAGGGTGAAGCTGATCAAAACTGAGTGGACTCCTGGACTCTGTATAGTGGATTTTGGACCAATGGACTCTATATAGGGTGCTGGACATCATATAGTGCATGGACTCTATACTGAGTCCTACATATAGGCTGCAAGCTTAGATCATAGCGCGAATGGATGGTCCGGGCTGATAGTGTAATTGTAAAAATGCGTCAGTTGGTTGCCGGGGTGCAAAAATAGGCGCAAATAAAGAATACACTTTAGGCCTAGGCTCATGCGACCACATGTTCTTCTGAGGGAGGCAAGAAGAAGGACAATTCGGTAATTATGAGCAGCACATCACCTGCGAGTGGTGAGAATATATGCCTCAACATTCTTCCTCCCAGCAATTTGCTTATAGGTCCCACCATTCTACTGAGGATGCGCTAAGCTGCGCCATAAACAGATGGCAGTGTAGCTTGGAAGGGCGGAACGTGGTCGTGTGTTATTTTTAGACATGAGCAAAGCTTTAGATCGAATCCGCCATGACACCCTCCTGGATGATCTTTTCCAATGCGGCATCGGAGGCACAGCCTTGTCCTGGTTTGCATGCTATCTGTCCGACCGATACCAGCGGGATTAATAATGCCAAACTGGTCAGACCGCTACTCCCGTCGCATGCACAAGAGGAGTTCCACAAGGATCGGTGTTGGGACCTGTCCTCTTCACGATATACACAAGAGAGGTACCAACACGTGTAAATAGTGACTCGCTACTCTACGCCGACGACACCTGTCTATTAAAGGCCTGCAAAGTGTCCAACATCTTGAGCATGCTGAGGGTTTTATCAGAAGATTTCGCCGCTCTCTCTCTCTCTCTCTCTCTCTCTGTTTTTGGTGGACAAAAATATCTCTGGCGTTGATTGCTTTCTTGCTTCGATTTCTGCCGCGCCTTTGTTCTCGTACTCCCCTTTATGTACAAGTGTTGTGCAGACCCTCCTTTAATATAGTCTGTCTCATTTTGTCCTGAGATGTTTTGATGCATAGTGATTGTGACGCTCATCATTCGCTCCCTTGTCACTAGACAGTTCTGTCCGTTTGGTTTTAGCGAATTCAAATAAAGAAAACAACAACAACAAATTCACAAGCAAACGCTGGACTTTTGGGAGATGTCCGATAGCGGCTGCTAAAATGTTCTTCCAAATCGACAAGAAACGCTATGCATGGTCCTTCAATAGCAGGTGTATCTATACAGTAACAGCCTCATTGGGCATCTGCCCGTGTTATTCGGATGCCATATTTAGGCTCCTTCTCAAAAAGGAACTGATTATGCCAACATTTTGCCTACAATGCATTATTAATGATGCCTTCAATAGCAGGTGTGTACAGTGTATCACAGCATAATTGGGCATTATTGTTATTATTACACCTTCCAGTGGCTAAAGATGAATCAGTGCCAAAATACATGTAGATGAGGAGGGGGCGTTTGCCAGCCATGGCATCTGCCATTGTTTTTCGGATGCCATTTATGCTCCTTCTAAAAACGGAACTGATTATGCCAAAACTTGTTCCGGCATTTACCCCTAACCGGAGCCTAACTAGTAGTCATGTAGTACTGTAGTCTGACTGTAGGCACTCCACTGACGAGGCCGCATGATTTTACTGACTACAGTCTACACTACACGGCTACTGCACTGTCTGTATCGTGATGCATCGATCCACTGGCAACGACATAAACATTACGTGTCGAGGTCGGCTGCAGATCGAGAGGCAGTTGTGGTGGGAGTCACTGGGGCGGTCACCAGGTCACTGATGGTCTGGCGCCAGTGCAGTGGTGATCTGGTGCGTGTGGTGGACTGGTGGTCTGGTGCGTGTGGTGGATTGGTGGTCTGGTGCGTGTGGTGGACTGGTGGTCTGGTGCGTGTGGTGGACTGGTGGTCTAGTGCGTGTGGTGGTCTGGTGCAGCAGTGGTGCGCGTGGTAGACTGGTGGCCTGGTGCGTGTGAGGGTTGATGAAAAGGAACAGCTACGTCATTGCAGCTGTCCGAAGCTCGAAGCTCGAGGAGTCGAAGCCGGAGTCCGGAGATAAGGACTTAGGAATCGTTAGGTACCTGCAACATATTATGCGTATTGCGGACTATGCATGACGAAGCTAATCATGCTCCACTCCGATATACAGCCTCTTTTAGTTAGTACCGTACACTCGACATGGTGCCACTTGCATTGCAATAATTATTGGCCCGTGAAAGCCCGGTCACGACCCACTGGCCACTGCACTGCACGTGCACTGGTGTCACTGTCTGGAGTCTCTGGACTGGCCTCATGCAGCGCGAGCAAGCGGATTTAATTGTTGCGTTTGTGCGGTGTTAGTTCCAAATCCCGGCTACAACAGTACATGACTGATTGTACATGACTTGTACTGTTGTGGACATGGAAATCCGGTCGCATGTCCTGCGGCCCCAGGGCGCTGGACATGCAGCGTGGCCGGCCAAGCGGTAGATCTGCACGTACATGTACATGTAGATCGTCAACATGACTTGTGCACTGCACGCAGTGAGTTTAGAGTTTAGACTGTAGATATACCTACCCGCTGAGGGCGCCGGCCCCGGTCAACCGACTGGATTTCCATGTCAGCTACAGTACATGTACTTACATTGTACTGATAGACGGGATTTTGAACATGCCCATTGCACATACCGGTGTACATGTACAATGTATACATGTACAGCCACAGGTACCAATACAGGTACTGTAGGGGCAGAAAATTTCGTCGGTCAATAATTTCGTCCAACTCCAAAGAAAAGGAGTTCGTCCAGTTGAAAATGTCGTCCATGGATCATAAGAGTGTATAGAAGAGCTGGGCAAATCGACATTAGTCCTACATTTAATTTAGTCCAAAAGCTCCTTGGACGAAAAAGACGAAATTAAATTCCAGACGAATATTTCTGCTTATACAGTACCTACAACAATTTTATCAACAATTATGATAATTACCACATCAAATGCTGCAGAGACCTATCCAGAATCGGCAATATGCTGGCCCTGGCCTGGAGATCTGCAACTACAATCAGCTTCTACTTTGCAACATTAACGGATTAGTCCCCTTTGTCGATTGATGGATCAATCGGTAGATTCGGCTCTGTTTTTCTTTCCTTGTTTTGAATTGTATGTTGAACTCTTTGGATTTCTTTGTATTCTGTATCTCGTTATCGTTTATTTATCTCTGGCCCTCTCGCTTAGGATGAGCTTTCTTTTTTTATGGCAGCTTAAGCGAAGGCTATATACCTGCTTTATGCAGGTTGATGCCAACGCGAACAAGCAAAATAATAATAAATAATAATAATAATAATTTGAAACTCGGATGTTGAGCCATAAATAAATGTAAAAGAGAAAAGGACATATGGATACGAGTTAAGAGTAACTCTCCATCACTGTAACATGATACTATATACAGTCAGAAAGTGCAATAACTAGGCACAAAACTGACAGAGTACTGAGACATTCGACGTCCTGACACCTAACTTCAACACATCTCCGTAGCGCTAACCGACAGCCTTCCAACTTGGAAGGTTCAAGGTTATGGAAAGACCAAACCATAACCTTAACCTTCCAAGTTGGAAGGCTGTCGGTTAGCGCTACGGAGATGTGTTGAAGTTAGGTGTCAGGACGTCGAATGTCTCAGTACTCTGTCAGTTTTGTGCCTAGTTATTGCACTTTCTGACTGTATATAGTATCATGTTACAGTGATGGAGAGTTACTCTTAACTCGTATCCATATGTCCTTTTCTCTTTTACAATAATAATAAAAATAATATACAGTACCTGGTTACCGGTAGTGGTACAGTGTACACTGATCTGCTCCATGGAATCTGATCAAGCCAGTGAATACCAAAGGCGGCCGCTGTACAGCCCTAGACCTGCGAACATTGGGATGTACGACTCACTCTTTTTTCGGTACAAGTAGTCATGTACATGATTGTACATACATGTACATGTACATGTATGTACAATCATGTACAGTACATGCATGTGGCGCAGGGTAAAAACTTCACTCATGCGATCGGATTTCATTGAATATCACTGGCACACATGTACATGTACATGCACTACTACTACAACAGAGTCAGTGTAGGCACTGGAACTTTTACTATTACAACCATGTACATGTACAATGACTATGTAGCATTGTAAGTACAATGTACATCTACATGTACATGTAGATACATAGTCGCCTGATGATTGCATTGAGCAAGAAACTCCGAGTTGCGACAAATCTGTAAAACTCCATTGTGCCTTTTGTGTGCACATGTAGATAGATGTACATTATACACATGTACATGTACATACATGTATCTATCACGCAGTGCTCGACGCCCCAATAAACTTGTTTTTAATACCCATGGTCGAATAATCTCTTATCTCTTTTTTCACAAGATTGGCAAGTTCTGGAATTGCCTTCCGCCTTACCTCAACAGACTCTCTCTCCGAATTTAGGACTTGACCTTGACGCTATAATGTTGCTTTTCTCTTCTTTTTGTTCCTCCCTCTCTCACCAATTTCCCCATCCCACGTACATGTACATGTATTTCATCACTCAAGCGAAAACAGGAAACCCCCTGGACAGGCGAACAGCCTTTGGTGAATCCTTTAAATTAATACATGTACATGTACATCCAATACAATACAAAAACAATGTCTGCAGTACATGATTATTGTACTGCAGTCAGACATGACTACTGAATCTGATTACATGCATGTATATATCAGGCCTATTTAAGCAAGCTACAATGTAGATCATAGAGGGGGGGGGGGTATGTTGATGCTTCACAAAATGCCCGTACAAAAAGGGTGGGTGATCCACATGTACACACCGCGAAAAGGCGCAGCGCGGCACATCTGCATGTCACTCATTCCGACCCACTCGCGTGACTCGGCTTCAGGATTCACTCATCAAGGCTAGCCTAGCGCCTGCTTCACTTCACTTCAGGTTAGGTGGCGTAGGCGCTTCATAGCCTTCAAGTTCAACGACGTGACTAATGATGACTATGTGCGATGACGTAAATGCGAAACGAAACTCGAAAGGTGCGACTTGGCCTGGCCTACAATTTACAAATAGCGCCCGGGCTGGACGGCGTTGTTCCAACTAGACCCTTATTATTTGGAGGTTGCTGCCATTTCTCCCGGCATTCTAAAACAGGTTCTCGTGCTGGGCAGTTGCTGAAATTTTCGTTCTTGTTTTGTTCAAGTCTTTTGTCCCTTCGACTTGCTTTCCCCTCTTCCTGAAGTACCAGTTCTCAGACATGATGTGGTCTTCGGTCATGGTTCTAGCGTTGGCTTTGCTGCCAGCTACGCTTGCGTTTCCTAGCTTCGTTCCTAACATACCCAATCTGGGAGTCGTCGGCGGGACGCCTTCTCTGGTACCTTCCTCGTCCGGCATGGATGGCGTGTAAGTCGTAATGCTTCACTGCACTGACCGTTATCCATTATTTATTATGTCCGACTCGCACATGTCGGGTACTACTGGAGTTTTTTTTTAAATAGAGCAATCTTTTATTGAAATCGTGAACACCTGAAGAAGGTACTACTGGAGATAGAGCGGACTGTCTACCTTTGCGAAAAACGACCCTCGATCGGGCATGAGAAAAGTGTCTTATTCGTCAGCTGGCGTTACTAGCGACGTTGAAAGTGTGTGGTACAGGCAGTAGACGTACACGTTATTGTACTACTACTGGTGTCCTTGTCCTCCTGTCGCTGCTGTCACTTGTCGGCTTGGTCGACCGGTCAAGGCTTGAGAATGAGAACTACTACTACTACTACTACCAGTAGCACCAGTAGCAGTAGTACTAGTAGCCGCGCTGAATCGGTGTCTGTTCTGTACATGTCTGTACATCACTACTATGTCTGTACATCACTACTAACGTTAGGTACGCACCATAATGGTGTAGTCTGCCTGTGCGGTTGCATTCACCATGTTTGCGGAAGTGGCTCGTGCACTATAAACATTCAGTGTAGAAAGAGTGTCATCGTTTTGCCCCTCGCCGTTAGTTGCAGTGTTCACCATGGCATTGTTTGGCGTACTAGTAGTCGACTCTCAGAACATAAACGAAAATTGATATCAGTACTTGTACCAGAGAACTCTTTTCTCTCATCCCTTGTTGACCCTGGTCGCGCAGCATTCGCGAGGCGTGCACGGGAGGTTGGTTCCGTGAAATTTGGGTGAGGCGGCATGTTTTGGATCGGGTTGGATCGGCTTTGGCCCATGTGCGAGTCTATTTCGCTAGGTGCGCATTGGCCTCCAGCGTAGTGTGTTTGCAAACAGGTGAAATAGGCGTTCACGAGAGGAGCATACCCCGCGAGCTCTGCCAACATCCTAAAAATCCTGGAACAGTTCTCGCTGGTGTCCTGCAGACATTCCCGCCCACTCTCTAGCCAAGCGGTCTGGCAAGGCCAGTGCGAGTCTGGTGTGTGGTTGACACAGACAGTTCAAAGGCAATGCAGACAGCTGCCTGCTAGTCCTAGCAATCTGCTACTCTCTACAGAGGTTTCCGAGTATTCAAGCGAGCGTAACACTTCCGTCACTTGCATGTACCTCCGCGTTCCTTTCATTGTTTCACTGGTGAGCCAACAGGACTTGGGTTTTTTAACTAACTTTTTCCCACTGTGGCACAGCCAGGAAACACTTGGGGACGGAAGCGGACAGTCACTTGGGGACAGAATCGGACAGTCACAGACTATGCAGTTCGCACTAGTGCCCTCTTGTGCTACTCACAGATTGTCCAAAAACAGGCTCCCTGGAGTCTTGTGTCACGCTGAGACTGTGGCATCTAGGAGTAGGAGATTGTTGCCGATATACAGCAGTATGTCTATAGCTAGTCCAGTTGAGGGAAGAGACTCTTGAACTAACAAACGACCTACTAGTGCTAGTTACCTGTTTTGAAGCTCCCAGCTGACCCAGACCCGGATGTACTCTGGCACTCTGATCAGCCATGCCACTGTCACACGTTTTGTCTTCGCAGACAAGGACTACCACTTGGTGACGTCATGACCTACATCGGCTACATGTACACGCATACACACGGGCTTGTTGTGTTTGAGAGAGAGAGCACTGTCTAGCTAGTACAGTCCTGGCAACTGAAATCCAACCCCCCTTGTGCGGTGGGTTTACGTTTACATTCTAGCGGTACTGTATATGTTTCGTAGTTTTACCATCCCATGTTGGGTCTTTGTGATGTGAGCGCACCTCACCGCTTAGGGTGGTCGTATTTCAGTTGCCAGCGCTGTAGTTAGAGCACTGTGGCCACCCATATGCACCCAGTGTAGAAGTATCACGATGGTCAGTATTCGCGTTACGCTCTTCTTGAAAAATTAGCATCTGCTGTAAGACTAAGAGTGGAAGTGGAAGAAGACCAAGGATTGCTCGCAGGAGTTTGTATGGTACATTGTATACCCAAGATTTTTAGTGTCATGCAGGAAGTGAGTGCTTAGAATTGCACTTGAGAAATAGCGGTCAGAGATTGTCCACCAGAGCTCTAGAGGTTGAGAATAATGGCTGCAAAAGCTTGATCTCTCATGCCTATCATAGCATTGAGCTGCATTGAGCTGCATTGTATACATTAACACTAGTGCATTAGAAGAAGAACTACATGTGTGTTGGAAAATCATTTCACGTGAGCCAGTGCCATACAAAATGCCAAAATTTGTTCACAATCCAGCCACTTGACTAGTTTCCACCGAATCCAGAGTTGCTGTGAGTAGTTTTAGCAGGAACCACTTTGGTGGTGGGTCTGATCTACTCACCTCCCATGGCTTCAGAAGCTGCACCTATGCCTTCATCATTGAGGGTGGTAGCATTCCTATGGATGCGGAAAACTCATGTAACCCATGTAACCTAATCTCTATGCAACTCATGAATGCCCGTCTAGTAACCCCTTGAGCGTGGTAGCTGAACACGTAATTTGAAATTAATTCGTTGATGCCATCTTCACGCACAGGATAGGCCTTTGGGAAATCTTTGACTATAAAATTAATATTAATTTGCCATGGACGGTTGCTGCCTTGCTGGTGTCTGCAAGCGTCGTGTGGTCTGGTCAGGTCGAGAAAATACACTTACACTTACAGGTGGAATCCTGATAATTCGAATATGGCTTAATTCGAACATACCGCTTAATTAGAAGTTTTTCCAGGACCGATTTCTATCAATACGATTCCCACATAAAAAATTCTGATAATTCGAACCTCGAACTGGACATGTCAGTTAATTAGAAGTCCCACAGATTCCACTTACATAGAAAATGTGTGGGATTTGTGCTGATAATTCGAAGTTAGCAAAGTGTAATTCGAAGTTCCCTGTACACTGTACTGGTCAGTTCAGTTTGCATGAGCAGGCTGTGCCGGTCAGTTCAGTGTCCGTAAAATTTGTGTCTAAGGTCCATAGCGCAACTCTGCGTGACCATGAGAGAATTTTGACATAAATATCGAGTTGTGGGTTCATGTTTGGATAATTAGAATGTCCGGATAATTAGAAGTTTTTTCCTGGCATTTTGAGGTTTGAATTATCAGGATTTCACCTGTACTACAAAGTTTGCAAAGAGATTTGAAATGGAAATAGTGTACCTTGCAAGCACTGGGAATTTATCCCCGCACAACCTCACGTTTGGAAGGACAGTGCTCCAACCATCTTGCCATCCATCCACACACCTGCTTTTTCTGTAGTACACTAAGACCTCGCTTTTCCGGACCACAACGTCACGGCCACTTCCATCTACCAGGCACCCTTTGGACGAGTTCCAGTGGAAATACTTGTATTACTACTCTTTTGTCACAATCGTGGAAATATTACTACTCTTTTGTCACAATCGTGGAAATATTACTACTCTTTTGTCACAATCGTGGAAATATTACTACTCTTTTGTCACAATCGTGGAAATATTACTACTCTTTTGTCACAATCGTGGAAATATTACTACTCTTTTGTCACAATCGTGGAAATAGTGACGCCGCATGCCATATCTATGGCCTTTCCCCGTAAAAATGTATGTCACTCGGAGTTAAGGACATTTCAAAGTTACGGTCAGTGCTCGGTCCCGAACCGTCCGGATAAACGAGCTAAGAGTGTGCCTGTGTTCACCGGAGCAAGCAAGCCTTGATTGTCCTTGTTGTTCTGTTCTATCCTTGTGTTCTATATCTGTTTGTGTATCGTGCAGCGTTTGCCAGTCGATTGGACATGTAGCGTCATGTAATGGCCCTCCATCTGGAGGTGGTAGGTAGCATCTCCACCATTTTGTAATTTGTAATTTATTTCTGAATTCCCCAGAGGCTGAAATGCCTGTCGAGGGGTCTCCATAATATCAGCATAAAAACATGATTGACGCACATAATGCGGCACATACATGAACATGAATGTCGCATATAGAGAGGTGAGGGTGACTTAACCCTATTCCCTGCGGCCTATGTGCTGCAGATCCGCCAGGTGGAATGTGTGGAAGCAGTTCTTTCCTCAATGTTCACCTTCCAGTCGGCTACTACTTGCACTGAGAGGCGCACTAGAGGACGACCCTTCTCTTCACTTTCTTTGCCCCCTGCAAAAACTAGATATGACATCTTCTCTATTTCTTTTCTTGGCGCTGATAGGTGGAATTCTCTGCCTGTCTCGTGTCGTCAACTTGAGCATCTATCCATTTTTGTTATATTTTTTTTAAGGTGGCAGACTACCCAAAAAATCGCTGAAAATTGAATTTGTAAATACATATTGAGTGCTACACCAGTAGAAAAAGCATGAATAGCTGCAAATTCTCTGAAAATTGTGTTCCGATCTGACCAGCCGTTCAAGAGTTATGGCCGAAAACGTGCCCTTGCAAGGAAAGATTTTTTGTTGCTCGCTGTCATTTGTTGGCAGCACTGTATTTGAATGTGAGCAGACCATGCGCAACTTGTCGTATCATGGAAACACGCGAAAGTGTGCTGAATTTTGCTCCAAGTCCAAAAAACACGGTTTTGAGCCACGTATTGGGCTGCACGACGGCGGGCTTTGCCCGCCGCCGTGCAGCAGGACTTTTGCCAGCACCCTCGTGACGTTGCAGATATGTGGCTTGATTATTGTAGTTGAGGTTGATTTAGTGATTTTGGCAAGTTTCAGTTATGTCAAGAAGTCAGGTAGGATTCAGTACTAGGCAGGAGCGAAACGTGAGTGGTAGTCTTTGCCGGTTTCTGAGGGTATCCTTGATTTCGTGTGCAGCGCTGTGGAAATGGCTTGCTGTGGAGGTCCCAGCACTGGATGTTGTATCTCGTAGCACGTGCTAAACCTAAAAAAATTCAAAAATTGACCTGGGTCTGTGGGAGTGTGTGAGAGAACGCCCACTCGTTCCGTTGTGACAGATTCCAGGGCCTCGTTGAGGGGCCCTACCCCATCACCCATGGCTGCTTCTGGACTTGTTCTAGGTTTGAGTCCCGCGCACGAACAGAATGAGCACGAAAATGTGAAAAAATTGTAAATGAATTTGTTTGGCTCCTGGGTGGCTCGCACACCGTGGCACTATGCCGGAAATTTGAGTTTTTCCGGCCTGGAAAGCCTGTCAGTGAGGCGCAAGAACTTGTAAATCATGTCCGGAGGGCCAGCATAGTGGCAGGAGTGTGTGGTCAAATTTTCACTCAAATCCATTGAGAAACACCAAAGTTCCGGTCAATTGAATGCCATATGAAATTTATGGGTAGGCTGCCCCCTTAAGAGCACTTAGGGTTCCCTGTAAGAAGACGACAGCGTCTGTAGGGCCTTCCCTATAAAAAATATGAATTCTACTACTGCTACAATGATTTCCCTAGAGCCTTGCCGACTGTATCTCTTTGAGTACTCGTGTCCTGGCAGCGATCCTGCGAATGGGATTTGGGTGTCTCGAGCGTGGTTTGATTTGCCCATTCTCCATCGCTTCAACCGAACAGACATAATCACTTTGCATGTTCGGCAATCCGAGGAACATTAAATGTTTTGCAGTGGGCATCAGCATGTTAAGCCTTGGATGTCGCTTGGGAGAGGCTTTAGATCACCTTCAGTTGCATTCATTCCAGTGGCGGATCCAGGGGGGGTTCCGGGGGTTCCATGGAACCCCCTAAATTTTGCAAAGTGTGCTGCTGAGAAATATCGATAAATATCATGTGTGCACAAAAGGACGTCCGTCCGATCACAGTCATAATCAGTGCAGTCACTGCATGCGCGTTCGGTAGATCGATACTGCACGTATACCGGTAGTCTAGTACAGTGTACTAGACTATACTGGTGCTCACGTCCGTGATTTACAAACGGACACTGTAGTGTAGACAACATTGGGTGGTTGTTTCCTTTTTGATCTTTCGAAACGATCCAAACTTACCTCCATTGGCGCTGTCATTCACTGCTGCTCAGGATGGGTGCGGTCAGTATTCCTTGGACAAGATTTTTTTTCAGAAGAGAAAGGATGCTCCGATTGATGACACTCTTCAACGAACTTCGAATCGTACACGTAGAGTTCAAGCTCCTCAGAAGATGAGGGCTCCGACATCCAAGCAAAGTCAGTAATCTCTACCTGCTGCAGCATGCAGTAGTGACTAGTTGTTCCTCCGCAGGAACGGAGTGCTGCGCCAGCGATGTGTTTTAGATGACATTGGAACCGGGATTGTGCAATTGTCGACACTGTTTCGCTGTTGTTGTTTCTGTCACTGAAGCGAAGACGATGCTCTTGTCCTGTGACTATAGAGCATTTCGCATCGTAAAAATGCCAAAAATTTCCGAAAGTACAAATGGACAGGGAAAGTAATTTAGTTGTCATTTCGGCATTCCTGGCTCTCAACGTACCCATGTATGTTATTATTATTATTAATTCAACATCTCCTGGCTCGTCAGAAGACTGCCAATATATATGAGAAGTCGGGTGGTAGCCAACCACGGCGTATGTACTCAAGTATATTATGATTATGTGTCCGTACTAAATAATAATTATACAATGTAGCCTTTGTAGGGTAAGCAGCAGCATTTGGCCCTGTACAGGCTTTCCATCGTCCACCACACCACAACTGCGCGCTCCAGCGATGGTGGTGTGCTGTGGCAACGTTACGTGTCGAGGCGATGTGCGTGTCCTGAATGTTAGTTACCACTACGAGGCTGGAGGGCCTAGGGTGCAGTTATGGTGTGGTCGATGATGGAAAAATATATGTCCGTAGTGCGTTTTAAAAGCATGCGATTGCCACTAACAAAATCGGATTGTCGTAATTACATGTGTCAACCACACAACTTCAAAACAATCTGATTCCATAATATTTTTGCCTTTTCAATTTTGGTTCAACCGGAACCCCCCTGTAGAGATCTCTGGATCCGCCCCTGCATTCAGTGTTTGTTTCGTTTTACATTATGATGCTCTGCTCAGGAAATGTGTTTGGAATGGCTTTCCTTGCTGGTGGAAATTCGTGGGCTGCCGTATGCAACGTGGATAGTGATGGTGATGGCTTGACAAATGGCATGGAGCTGGGAGATCCTAGCTGCATGTTCATGGCTGGAGACACACCCGAACGTACTACGAACCTCAGTAATCCAGGTAAAGTTGTGTGTCTGTGTGCGTGTTTTTGTGTGGGGGGGGGGGGAAGGGGTGAGGGAAGGTGCACGCATATGTGTTTTTGTTTGTGCATATGTATGTGTGGTTTGCTTCTGCCCATGATTGCTCTGCCCGGAGGCAGATTACTCACTGCCGTCCTCCCGCCCACGCTCTCCTCACCCGGACCCTCACTCTGGCTTCCGCTGTGCATGTGGAAAGGTCTGCCATTGTCCTGGGATCTCAAGCGCCACGCTCTGTGCTACAAAGCCATCAGATATTCCCTTCGCTATTATTGCCGTAGGCAATGGGCAAGGTTTAAGGTGTATGTGTGTGTGTTTTTATGTTTGTATGATTGTGTGTGTGTGTATGTGTGTGTATGTGTGTGCTGGATATGGACTTGCGGAAGCAGACCGGCTGCCCCTGGACGTGGCGGGTGAGGTGGTCGAGTGTGTAGATAGTTTCCGTTATCTTGGCTCTCTCCTCCACACGAATGGCCGATCTACCCCAGATATCAGCTCGCGCATTGCCGGTGCATCACGTGCATTTGGAGCCCTGCGCCAGCCGGTTTTCACTGACAGCAACCTCTCACTTGCTACGAAGCGGCTTGTGTACGGGGCATGCGTGTTGTCTCTGCTTCTGTACTGCGCTGAGTATTGGGTGCCGTTGAAGCCCGACCTTGATGCACTGTGCTCTTTCCATCTGCGCTGCATCCGTTCCGTGATGGGTATCAGCCAGCGGAATGTCTGGTGTGCTCTTTCCATCTGCGCTGCATCCGTTCCGTGATGGGTATCAGCCAGCGGAATGTCTGGGACGAACGACTGACCAGGGTTGATGTTCTGGAGCGGTGGAATCCGCGTCAGCCCCGTGACATCCCCAGCCTGCTGACATCGCTCCGCATGGAGTGGCTTGGACATGTTGTGCGAATGCATGAGGAGCGTGCCCCGCGTCAACTACTGTTTGGCACCCTACATCCTGTCCGTCCAATGTGCGGCCCGAGGAAAAGGTAGCGCGATGCTGCGCGGAAGGATCTGGCGGCGTTGGGCATCGACGAATGGTATGACTTGGCCCAGGATAGACGGGAATGGCGGGCCGCTTGCAGTGTTCTGCCCCGCCCGAACCCGTTTGTGAGCCCCTGCGGATACCTTGTGCCGAGTGTGGCCGTCTCTTCTCCAGGAGTGGTTTGCCTCGCCATAAATGTCTCGATGAGCGCCGCAAACCTGTATCAGAACAGAGAGGTAGCCGACAATGTTCTTCCTGCGAGCGCTGGTTCCGCAGTGCTGGAGGTTTGGCGGTCCACAAGTGCCCCAACTCCCGGATGCTTCCCGCGACATAGTCTCGGGCTCCGTGCCGGGCGGCGGTGTCTACCACTGCTGCTCAGGCGACTCCTCCGCCGCAGCGTGTGCAGCTCGCTCTCTCATGCTGCAAGGCCCACTGTGGGGCCTGTGGCCGATGCTGCCGCTCTACTCGTGGATTCCAAATCCATAGATTCCGGAGATGGCTCTCTCGTCGTGCCGATTGAACATGGTCCCTGATCTCTTGGCAGACTGCCGACTTTCTGCCGACGCGCGTCGTTTTCCATGTTGTCGGCCCCGCGAGGGGACACGTGACCGTAATGGCAGTGTTTACCAGGACCAGGTGTGTGTGTGTGTGTGTGTGTGTGTGTGCCAGCTAGTTCGGTTGGTGGGTACACTTATGCCTGATTGTGTGGGGTCTGTGGGGCCAACAGGCTCGGCTGCTTGAAGGTGTATTGTTGTATCTGCCACCTTTGTTGGTTACAGGGTTCATATACTTTCTATTTGAAGTAAACATACCTGTTAACCATGGACTGCTTCTGGCTAGATTAACTCTTGTGTAATCAATGGTGCTAGTGAAGCTTATATCAGATCCACTCTGATTTAGCCACCCATATTAGTGGCAAGTATTACCTTCACTGGGGGCAGGGGTAACTGCAGTTGGATCCCAGGACGGATACCCTGATGCTGTCAATCCATTTTCTCCACCTTTTCCTCACCCACTTACTGTGTGGTCAGCCCATAAGTGGGATCATTTTCAAGTCCACCCAGAGTTGGGGATTTCAGGGGGTGTCGGCCGTTGGGCGGTTCAATAGCCAATTGAGTCATCTTTCTAAGATTCCTTTTGAGTCTCTCTCCCCTCTCCCAGGGAGACCCACGTGACCAGTTTTGGCAGTGAGCAACAAGTACAAGTACAAGTATGTGTGTGTGTGTGTGTGTGTGTGTGTGTGTGTGTGTGTGTGTGTGTGTGTGTGTGTGTGTGTGTGTGTGTGTGTGTGTGTGTGTGTGTGGTGTGTGTATGTATGTGTGTGTGTGTGTATTGTGTGTTTTTTTGTATGTGGGGGATGTATGTTGAATACACAAGTGTGGACGTTTCTTATTCTTGTAAATTCTACTGCACACAATGTAAGCGCAGTTCGATATCTTGTCAAAGGGATGAGCTTTATTATTATGCCCTTAGGACTGTATATCTGCGAACAAATCGTGCCCAGGCCTTTGAAAGATTGGCGGCTGGGGGACAGGAAATGGCTGACTTTTTTCTTTTTTTTTGTCCTGTTCAGGATTTGCCTGCTCAACCACGGCCAATCCTTTCTGTTTGCGTAAGTATGATAATTGATAGTGGATAGAGATTAAGTTCAATGGCAATTATTTATTGGTCCTTTGATAAATCAACCTCAGTTCCGTATACTGCATAACATGTCATTTTAGGTGAACTGCAGGGTGAAGACCTGCCAGGTTTCAGGTGTAATGAAGAATTAGGCGACCAGCCTACCCTTCATATACAATGAATACTCTAGTGCCTTTTAGGTGCCTGAATTCTCTACCGAATTTACCGAAATACAGTTACACCGAAATTTACGTCTCATCAGGTCTGCAAGAATGAGCTGGGATAGAGAGCCAAGGGTAAATGTATAGAAAAGAAAAAAAGGCTTAAGAAGTACAAGCTATGCTATCATGTCCACTAACACTACCAGTTACTGAACAATAGCCAGTTTAATTGTAGAACGTCAGTACCGTCGGTCAGTGTGTTGCAATGTTATCGCATGATCTGATTGTTCAGTAACTGGTGGTGTTAGTGGACATTATAGCCTAGCTTGTGTTTCCTTGGTCCTTTTTCTCTTTTCTCGAAATAAACGTGTGATACAAGGCAGACGTACCCACAATAGGGGCGTCTGAATTTCGGGAGTTCTACTGTGCATGAGAGGAAAGCTGGGCTGAAACTATCGCCTGTGTGTAGCTGTGCGATAGAATTATCATTGAGATATCTGTGTTTATGTGTCTGCCTGTATGAGTGCACGTGTGTATGTGTGCGCGTGTGCGTGTGTGTGTGTGTGTTTGTGTGTGTGTGTGTGTGTGTTTGCATGGTCATGTGTGGCTTGACGTATGGGGATGTTGTGTGCAACTGTGTATATGTATTTCCATGCTGTTCAGCTGTCCCTACCGCAGCAACAGCAGCAACGGAACAAGGTAAAGACCAATCAGCAACTTTAGATCTTTGACTCACTGTCTTAAAAATGTTAACGGAAGTCTACAAAGAAGGAGGTATTTTGTTGTGAAAGTTGCAGTGAAGTGGAGAGTTAGCCTTTATGTGCAGTATTTAATGCGTGTTTTTTGGGGGGGGGGGGGGAGGAAGCACATGCATGCTAACACACACCCGCACACACCCGCACACACACACACACACACACACACACACACACACACACACACACACACACACACACACACATACACACACACACGCGCACACACACACACACACACACACACACACAAAAACACACACACACATGCACACACACACATGCACACACACGTACACACACACGTACACATGTACACACATGCAAGTGTGCACATGAGCACGCACGCAGACACACACCCGTACAACACACACCAGCACACACACACACATGCACACACATGTACACACATGCAAGTGTGCACATGAGCACGCAAGCAGACACACACCCATACAACACACACAAGCACACACACACACATGCACACACATGTACACACATGCAAGTGTGCACATGAGCATGCCAGCAGACACGCACCCGTACAACACACACCAGCCGACACGCACCCGAACATGAATGTGCATGCCTTGAGTTCTTTATTCTCACGATGGCACCATCGCCAATCCTTGCATTCCCATTGCTCGACGCAATGGTAGCATCAGATGTTACAGTATCTCGTGCTTCAAGTCCAATCACACGCCAACACCATCATACACATATATAGTACAGGGTCATCGGAAGGTATTTACGTGTGGTACCGTGGTCAGCCAGCTGAAATACAATTTACTCGTCGAGGAGGGGTGGCTGAGGCAAAAAATTGCAAATTTAGAGCCCAGATGACGGTGTACTTGATTGGTTCATGGGGTACTCGGCAAAACGTGGCATGGTCAATACCGTCTTTACCGTACCGTGTCCGATGCCCCTGTAGGATATAATTGTATACAAAATTAATATAGATGACCAGTCTGCAGTCGATATTGTTTGCCTGATGATTGCACACAGACTCAGTGCATGAACCTCAGAGTAGCAAACCGCAATGATTGATCCATTGTTGGTTGACATGTGTATGTGTTTGTGTGTGAATTTGTGTGTGTGTGTGTGTATGTATGTGTGTATGTGTGTGCATGCGCGTTTGCCCGTGTGTGTGTGTACTTGCATGTGTGTGCATGTGTGTGCATGTGTGTGCATGTACGTTTGTCTTTATGTTGTTTGTGCATACCTTGCCACTTGTCTGATGATATTGCAACAACAACCTATCCAGCAACCACCTATATACAAGTAGCAACCACTGAACAACCAACGATCGTAACAAGCATTAATGACACGTCCGTTGATGTCACCTCGGCTACTGAAGTCATGACAACAGGTATGGATAATTTACACTTATTGGACAGTTCATATTTATTTTACTTTTAGACTCGGGTGGAGAACCAAGGATTAATTTGCAAGGAGAAATGAGCACCAAGGAACTACAAGCTGATTGTGAATTAACTGGTGGTGTTAGTGGACATTATAGCGTAACTTGTAGTCCCTTGCTCCTCGTTTCTTCATATTTATGTTATAACCTATTGAAAATACATTTTAAGGATCCCCCATTGGCTAGAAGCCTATTTTGGGGCGTACGTCTTTGGTGAAGGGATCAGATAACTCGTATAATTGAAGAAAAAAACAAAAACATTCTGTAGTCCCAGGGACCAGTACATTTGTAATGCACATGTGCAGTCCTCAATGGACTTTTCCAGATTTCTGTCCCTTTGTTTGGCTGGTGTTTGCACATCGAGCTGGGTACGTGAACATTAATATTTAAAGAACACACATGCTTGAATCAAAGACCAGATCCTAATGCCTCGTAGCCAAGGTGATTGCTTGATAAATATTTTGAATCCTTGGCAATCTCCATCCTGGGCTGATCAATTGTTCATTCAATTGTGTATAATTATGTCTTTTTTCAATCGGATAAATCCATTGCCACTAGCCTTTTGTTTCCTGCCTGGAACCATTCTTTCTGCTTCATTGTATCACATGCTCTACAGTGGAAATAACCTCCATCTATCTTCCCATCTTGGTGCTCCATCACAAACTCTCGGCTGCACCGAATAAAATACATTGCCTGTATTTCAATCATTGAGCACCATTCCGGAATTGTCATGAGGAAGCTCTAAATACTGGCAGGTAAACTAGTAATATAGTAATAAAGAATGCCAGTGCTTTGAGCTTCCTCATCACAACACCTTGATCATCAATGGCCTATTGAAAACAGACAACGCCTTCCATTCAGTGCAGCTGAGAACCTGTGCTGGAGCAGCTTGCGGCAAATTAGGATGGAGGTGGTGTTTTCAAGGGTCCCTCAGGAAGGCCATGTGTTCCTCACTATCATGATCAAGAAAGTGAAGCTGAAACTTCTTGATAGTGAAGCTGAACCAAGAAATGAAATTTTTGAAATACATTGCCTGTATTTCAATCATTGAGCACCATTCCGGAATTGTCATGAGGAAGCTCTAAATACTGGCAGGTAAACTAGTAATATAGTAATAAAGAATGCCAGTACTTTGAGCTTCCTCATCACAACACCTTGATCATCAATGGCCTATTGAAAACAGACAACGCCTTCCATTCAGTGCAGCTGAGAACCTGTGCTGGAGCAGCTTGGGGCAAAGTAGGATGGAGGTGGTGGTTTCAAGGGTCCCTCAGGAAGGCCATGTGTTCCTCACTATCATGATCAAGAAAGTGAAGCTGAAACTTCTTGATAGTGAAGCTGAACCAAGAAATGAAATTCTTGAAATACATTGCCTGTATTTCAATCATTGAGCACCATTCCGGAAATGTCATGAGGAAGCTCTAAATACTGGCAGGTAAACTAGTAATATAGTAATAAAGAATGCCAGTACTTTGAGCTTCCTCATCACAACACCTTGATCATCAATGGCTTATTGAAAACAGACAACGCCTTCCATTCAGTGCAGCTGAGAACCTGTGCTGGAGCAGCTTGCGGCAAAGTAGGATGGAGGTGGTGGTTTCAAGGGTCCCTCAGGAAGGCCATGTGTTCCTCACTATCATGATCAAGAAAGTGAAGCTGAAACTTCTTGATAGTCAAGCTGAACCAAGAAATGAAATTCTTGAATGATCCATCCCAAACCCCGACCACCATCCCCTCCTAGACTGATTACTTATATAGCCCACTACGACTTGTCTCAACTGATGGTTGGCGTGAAGAGTCGCTGACGGTGCGTGGGATTATCGCGTTGGTGCAAAAGAAACAAATTGTGCTGCCCAGCAAGTCGAATTGCGCGGTGGTGCAAAAGAAAAGAACCAAATTTTCGCTGCTCAGCAAACTGCTGGGCAGCGTGTGTGTGTGTGTGTGCGTGCGTTTGTGTGCATGTGTGTGTGTGTGTGTGTGTGTGTGCGTCGTGTATAATAAATTGTAATGCTACGAAGGCAAAACTATTAATGTTCAATTTAAGCTGTGCAATGAAAGCTAGAATTTTGCAAAAACTTCCCGCAAATCGGTTGTGATTAGTGCTGAAGGGCTATAGCGTTAATGTAAGTCTACAAAACAAATTTCCGGTGTGTTAAAACTTAAGCTTCCCTGGCTGCGTACGTGTCGCACTGAACCTTGGAAAACAAAATTTCGGCCGCAAAAAATTTTAGGCCAAAAATGCCCAGGCCGAAAGAGATGTGTCGAGTATTAATTTTGCAACAAGGAGGACTATTTTCGCTGTAAGCATTTCCTGTAGTGTATGTCGACATGCATTAATAAAAATGTGAAACGATGATCGCAAGGCACACAACGAAAAGGAAAGAGGATTTGTTCAGAATGGAACATGTCGACATAAAAGGAAATGCTTACAGCGAAACTACTTCTAAGTACATTATACTTATAGACCTCCTTGTTGCTACATTAAAACTGCTGTTTCCGAAGCACTTGTTAGCGAGTACAGTCTACTTCGCTAATAACGACTGCGGGTATAACGACAATTCGCGAATAACGACAGAATTTCCATGCCCAGAGCAAAGTCCCATCCACCTGGAATACATATAATGGGACTTCGGGTATAACGACACTTCGCGAATAAGGACACTTTTCTGATGCCCCGCCGAGTGTCGGTTTACGCGAACTTGACAGTATCATTATTTTTGACTTACTGTAAAGAAATGTATACTAGAGTAGTGGGTAGCGAATGAAGTGTGAAGAGTGGTGGTATCTGCTGTAGAGAGTCGCTCGTCCAATCACTGTCACTGTCTTCTTAATGTGATTGCTTGGCTGCAGGTGGTCAGTCAGCCCTTGCTGCCATTCCTAGCATGGTGTTGCTGGCCCTGATCCTGGCAGCCATGCTGTTGCACTAGTCACAACACAGAGTGGCTGCTGGCACAACAAGCGGCGCAGGTTCATGCCCCACGCTCGGAACAACACGTCTTGCAGCTGGTCTGACTTGATATAATACACATGTATCATCTATCGCCCCCCAGCTACAGGCCGCCGCAACCTGGATATTGCTATTTTCTGCTAGTTGCTTCGAGTTTGTGTTAACCTGCAATTAAGGCGAATCTGCGCTATTTTTTAATTGCACTAGTTATCACACCACCGTGTGTGTAGCATTTCCTATCCCGTGTACAGTGATTGCATGCATGGCGGAGCAGAGAAATATTTCTCCTACCAAATTTTGGGACCGTTTTTTCACAGTTCTTCTTTCTCATCTGAGCCCACCACACCCACTCACTCTATTTCTTCACGCAGCATATCTCTATAGATCCTGACCTAGCTAGCCTTCATATCCTGCTTTTCCATATAGATCCTGACCTAGCTAGCCTTCATATCCTGCTTTTCCAACACACAACTCTACTACTGATCCCCTCCTAGACTTCACTGGAAATGACCCATGCATCTCAATTCTCTATTTCTAGATCCTCCTCTGTTACCATAGTTTCAAGCTGTGTACTAGGTTCCCATTCCGGACATGTTTGCATATACTCCGAAGTAGGTAGCAGGTAGCAGAATGCCACCCTCCACGGGCCGGCTGGCAACCAACTGTATCACTTTATGGTTTATCCATTCATCTCTTGAGTACATCTCAGATACAAGAGTGAAGCAGATACTGGTCGAAGCGTTCCTTTTGCCCTCCTCCTCTTCTTTTCAGTCCACCGCTTGACGGTTTGTACAAACAACGCACAATAGTGGGGGACATGAAGAAAAAAAAGGTGAACTGTTTGCTTTCCCCCTGCCCCTCCCCCTACAATGCTTGCAAACCCGGCCTCTTTTCCGCATCCGCAGGAACGCCACCACCCTCTTGGATCAAGGCGCAGATGCAGCTCCTGGTGGGAGGCGAGAAAATCAGACCCACCACAAAGTGGTCAAAGAGGGAAAGTCCCATTCACTGCAACCATGTTTCCATCGTGTCAGGCCACGAGTTCCCAATTAACTGTGCGAACATGCACATACATTTACAGTAAAACCTGGTGTGAGCGACCACCCCACGGTGAAAGGAAAAGCGGTCGTTGAAGCCAGGTGGTCTTCAGAACTAGGTCCCACAGACTATAGTGTCTGTGTAGGACTGTCCATGCATGGAAAAACGGTCGTTAAGAGCAGGTGGTCGCTGAAACGAGAGTTCGCTTACACCAGGTTTTACTATGCTAGTACATAATAATCATTAACACTCGTGTCTTTTTGTTTTCAAGGCTATTATTCTACGGGCAAATTAACACAATGGTTTAAAATGCAATAAATCATGCACTGGAGAAGAAATCAGAAAAATGCATGTGTAAAATAAAGAATTTCAAACCCAAACCCAAAAAAAAACACATATACATGACGATTGCACATGTACATGATGTTACAGTACTGCTTGATGACATCATATCAAGGGCTAGGGAGCCACGTTTACACTGGGCAATGTGCAAACCTAAACTTGTGAACACTGGGCTGCGAAATTGTTCGGAGCGCAAATTGCCTCGCTCGATCGGATTTCATTGCCAACTACATGAATTGCCTATTTGGAATCTCAGACCGAAAAGAGTCGACACATACATGTACATTGTACATGTAAATGTACATAGGCTCCGCAAACTCTCGGCAGTCGACACCCTGGCTCTCCCGTTTTACTCTGTTACATGATTGTACATGTATCGTGCTACTGGTGCGTTCGGGTCCCGTCATTCGCAATTTAGGTGGATCAGTTCGCATTTGGGGGGACAATGGGCCAGTTCTAATTTCTTACTTTTACGACGGGGCAGTACCAGTAAAGGTTTTTATATGGATAATGTACATGTACATAGGCTCCGGAAACTCTCGGCAGTCGACACCCTGGCTCTCCCGTTTTACTCTGTTACATGTACATGTATCATGTTTAAATGTTTCTCCCTCTATACAATTATGTACTCTCTCCCTACACAACCTCTTTCACGGGCAAAATAGAAATAGACACAGAGTGTTCCAAAAAACTTCCAACTCAAAGTTCTAGATAGAAAAAGGCAAAAAAAACACGCAGTACTCTCTCCCTGCCCGACCCCTGTGTCTACAGTTATTATTGGTCTAGTAGTTCTGCTGGATACTAGTACTCGGTACTAGTAGTTTGTCTCAGTGATGACCTAGTCCTACCCTTTATACATGTTGTCATGTACAAGCACGACCGCGGAAAACAATAGTACTGACGCCCGGAGGAGCCAAGAGCTAGAGTTGAAGTTTCGAATGGATGCCCTGATTCAGGGATAAAGTCATAATATACACACAAGCACCCATATGTACTAGTACTCACCGAGTTATTGGCATTGGCCACACTTCCAGTGGACTTGCGAGCGAGCCCTCCTTGTTGCTTCCGAACTTGGTCTGCCGAAAACGATAAGTTCTACCGCTGCCAACATTGTGGACAATTTCGAAGAGATACTTCCCTGTAGCGTGACGCCTAAAAACGTCCTGACATTCTATCCTCATCCACTAGCAAAAATAATGGCTGACAGGACGCCTTTGCCGTGCGTAAAGCGTGACTCCTAAAAACGTCCTGACATTCTATCCTCATCCACTAGCAAAAATAATGGCTGACAGGACGCCTTTGCCGTGCGTAAATCGAGGCAGAAGTACGAAAAGCACCCACGGCTATAGAATCTGGCGGGAACACTGATCAATGAAAGTTAGGAAGAGTTCAATGTGCACCCAGTCTACGCGTTGGATAACGAAAACAACTGGCAGTAACTAGAAGAAGTACTGCTCTACACCCTGGTCCTAAGAGATCTTCCCTGTGAATTGCGCGCAGGCTGCTATGCAATGAAGTTAGTTAGCGCTGTTCACACGTGTGATTAGACATGGTTATCATTTTACCGTTCACGCTATTTCGACGGTCGGCCTGCACCGTTTTTGTGTGTGTACACATGGCATTTTACAGTTCACGCGCTAGATCCAACGGCACTTGTACCCCAAACCCAAAATACCGTCGGTTTTGTACCGTTTCTACGATAGAAAGCTCTTTTTAGCGGGAGAACGAAACGGTAAGATTCCAACTAGGGTTACCTCACACGTCTATCGTTGCGTCAGGAGTCAGGACTCAGAAGCCGAACTGCTAACCGTGTCTCGAAAACACATCAAAAACAGTAGACTCGCCCTCTACACGCCGACCGTTGAAAATAGCGTGAACGGTAAAATGCTAACCATGGCTAATCTTCCACTATTGCGAGTGTGATCGTCGTGGTCTCACACAGAATGATTTCCGTGCAGCTTTCATGCTTGGCGCTCTATTCTCGGTCTGTGGGTAGAAAGAATGGAGGGTAAAGTAAGTTTTAGTCCCATGTCACCATGGTATTGAGATCACACTACTAGATCCGTGTGATACCACGTGACAATGATGACACGCTGCCTGTACGCGGGAAAACATCACACGTTTGAATAGCGCTCTCCTCTTGGATTGGATTGGTTTATTTAATGTCGAATAAAAAACAGGCAGTGTTGCCTTTTTACATGAGATCGACTACAGGCACACAACTGTAAGGAAAAAGGAAAGGATTAAAGAAAAAGAAAAATAGCGTAGGATTTAAGACAACAGAGGAAAGATTACATAATTATTATTTGATCAGTGAGCAACGTTTAAAATAAATTAAAAAATTTCACGGTTCGCGTGAGACTCGGCTGGAAGCCGAGTTTTCCGCATCCGCCGTGGGAACGCCACCACCCTCTAGGATCAAAGGCAACGTTTAATGGTCAGTGAATTTTCAGGTGGGATATGACAGCGATCCGGAATTGACCTGGTTTCTCCAGTGATCGTATAGATGGAGGCAACTTATTCCAGAGAGCGGGACATTGATATGAAGGGCTGTGCGTGGCGGCGGCAGATATGATCCTCGGGAAAGGAAGCAGGGGAGGTGTGGTACAGAGGTGTAACGAGGTGATGAAGAAGCACACTACAGTTATTATGAATTACACGAAAGGTTAGCAGGAGGAGTTTGCGGCAATACATTGATTACAGGGGTTGAATGCTGAGGGCCTCAGGCGTTCATAAAGAGGGGCAGTTGCAGACAGGAAGGGAGCGGAGCATACAACATGCACAGGTCGCTTGAGAAGTTTCTCTTGCAGTACCTTCCTACGTTATATGGGGGCTCTACAGGTTTCAGGGCTAGCGGTGTTATCCTATAGAACCCCCACATTCTCACACAGCTTTTCATACAGCGCTACAAGACCCACCCTCTCCTGGCATATATACTGGCATGCCCATCCTCATGGTGCCTGATGATTGCGAGAGCATGAAACTTGATGTAGCAGCAAACAAGCCTTGATTGTCATTGTTGTTCTGTGTGTAGGTACATGCACAAAGAATGCCGTTACCGTGACAGGACGATAAAGACACCAGTTGATAGCATGACAATGCGGTCTAGCTGCAATTCGAAGAAGCAAAGCAACCCACCACGCAACGTGGGTGGGTCAGCAATATCAGAGATAAAGAAATGGGAAGCTTTGCGACAACCATCGGCATTATTTGTCACTGTGGGACTTAGCTTGTGCACATTTCCGCTGCGCTCACCTTCTCCTCATTGGTCCTTCCACAACCTTGAACCTTCCAAGCTGGAAGGCTGTTGGCGTGCGCACTGGATCTGTGTGATACCACGTGACAATGATGCAACGTTGCCAGTACGGGAAAACATCACACATTTGAACAGCGCTCTGCCCAAGCTGGAAGGCTGTTGGTTTGCGCACTGAAGATGTGTTTAGGCTAGGCCTCAGATCGTTGAATGGCTCCGTAGCTCGTCAGTTTTGTGCTCTGTTATCGTACTTTCTGATGACTTACTAGTATGATCCTGTTATACAGTCGTGGATAGTTGCTTCCTAATTCGTTTCGATGTGATTTCTTCTATTTTAATTCCACCAAATTATGCCAATATCTCCTTAATTTCCAGGTTTTGTATGCCTCGATCTATTTCCTTAGTCTATCCTCGATTTAATAACTGCTCCCTCTACATAAAGTGGTCATTTCATTCTTCTTGCAGGAGATCCCCTCGACAGGCCCAAAGCCTTTGGGAAATCCTTTAAAAATATAATAAAATACAAATAGGAAGACTGCTGTACCACCCGCTCTTTCCTTTTTTTCCTTTTTTCATTTCTTTTTGTTTTCTTGTCCTTCGCTTTCTTGTAATAGGGCCACCTGCCCATTGGAATCTGCGAATACATATTTGTACTTCTGAAGTACTTTGTTCCCATGTTCGTCTACATGTCGTCGCCTCGACTCCATGGTCGATCCAGCCACTGTATAAGTACAAATTTTCGTTTGGAATTAACTTCCGCTCCCTAGTATTCTCCATGCTCTTGTGTTTTCAATTTCAAATTCGAAAAGCTACGGGCGGCCATCGGCTTTTACACGTCACTACCAGACCCGTAGCTCTCCCGGGTAGTTGGCATAGGTGGAGGGTCTGGACTTGATGGGCAGTCCAGGGAGGGGTTATGCTTCGGCCGCTTTCGCCCCGTCGGGCCAGCATCTCTGCTTGTGATAAGAAGGTTTACAGTCTGAAGGGGTATCAACCCGTCAGACCGGGTGTAGCGCTTTGCTACGGTGTGGTGACGCTGGGCGTCTAGTGTACTGGCAGGTGAGCGCCAGAGTTTTGGGACAGATGGGCATCCCAATGTTGGCTGACAGA